TATACTGTAACTTATTCTTATTGAACAAGTAAATCAAATCCTTGAATCTCTTAAATTATTTATTATCGACGTTTCGGATCTAAATAGGTTCTATCTTTAGAACATCTTTCAAGAAACATGAACTTGATAAGATATAAACAAACTATATTCTTAAGAAAAAATAAAAATTAGTGGATTTTTTTTTATAAAATTAATAAAATTATGAAAGAAAGGAAATTATGTAAAATATAATAAAAATAATAATGAATGGATTATATAAAAGAAATATTAAAATGACAGTTGAAAGATTAAAAAAAGAGAATTAGGAGAAAAGTAAACTAATATTTAGTTTAGTATATAATATATGTCAAATGAATTTATCTGTTATATTGCAACTTATCACCGCAGACGAATTATTTTTAACTTTATCATAAGGATGCCAAGGATGCCCAACTCTATATTTTTATTCTTATACGGCGAAACAAATACATTGTTAGTAAAATATATTATACACATCATATTTAATATAATATTTTATTATATTTTTAAAAATTATTGAATGCATGTGCTATCTGTTTTTTGCAATTTTTCACTATGGACAAATTATGTACATCATAAGAAAAAAATAATTAGATATATCGCACCCTTGATTTGTTGATTTTTTACGATTTTGATGACAATGTTTATGATCTAGACTGCAAAAAATGTTCTAATTATAAAAAATTAACAAAGCTTAATTTGCGCGTTTATGACACGTACATACCTAACTTGAATATTCGGTTTTGTGTTTTGTACTGATCACCGTCGACGTTTGCACTTAAATAAAATACATATCTGGAACATAAATGTAATGTGAACGGTGTTAATTAAATTAATTTGGATCAGTCGATTATTTGCAGGTATCAGCAATATTTTATGGCCTATTTTGTTTTGTAGAAAACTCGACTTTCTTATCCATATGCTATATATAAGATGATCAAAACTAAATTTTATGCGTGTATAAGATGGATTATTTGAAACGAAAATAGTATGTTAAGTCTTATTTATAGCAATCAACTTAAATGATTTTTTATATTTTTACTTAAATGAATTTTTATATTATATAGAAAAACCAATATATAAATAGGACTCTTTCAATATTTGTTCCATTATTGAAATAATTATTTAAATATGTTTATTATTCATTATATTAAAAACAGATAAAAAGGATTTTTATTAAGTGATTTATTTTTGTTTAGCACGGTTTTTCTATATAAAAGTGAATTTTTCGAGTTACACGATTTTTTATGGAACCTATCTTCCGTGTAAAACGGAGTATAGGTGTACACACATATATATGTGTGTACTTTTTGTTTGACCTTAAAATATATTGATATTTTTTCAGTTAAATGGTTCAAATAAAGATGATTTTTTACACGTTTCGACATTTTATCATTTATTATTTTATGTATTTTATGTATAAGTATATGTATGTATATTCTATATATAATTCATTTTGCATTTTTATTTGGTTTTAAACATTCGCTAGTGTATTTCTATTTACAAAAGCAACCTATAAGTTGCTATAAGCAAACACACGATACTGGCTTACGAATACGGTGTATATAGATGTTGCAAAATGTGAACGATTTAAGTTTTGCTGGCACCGTACGTTCGATTATTGATTTTTCTCTTTGTTGAATGTTTACATTTTCCAACACATAGCATGTTTAGTTTGTTTTTGAAAAATAGGTTAACATAGTTTTTTTGTGCTCGGTGATTTTCTGATCATATGTACTTTGCCCGCGAAATTTAAAAACTTCACATTACAACTTTTGATCAACGTATTTGACGGTTATATGGTATATATATATATATATATATATATATATATATACACCTAAGTCTGTTTTTACACGGTCTTTTTGTACACGGTTTTGATATAACACGGTTTGAAAATTGAATATTTTTAATTTTTTTACACGATTTTATTCCATTTAGCACGATTTGAAATTTTATGTACTTAAATTTTTTTTGTCAAATTTAATTTTTGCGAAGTATGTTCATATCACAAAAAAGTATTTATGAAAGAAAAAAGTCTGAAACCATCGATAGTATCGATAGTTTGCGAACACTAGCTTAAAGATTTAAGTGAATTCCCCTTTAGCGCGTACAAACAATTTTTAATTAATTTTTACTGGTCAAAGCAAATGTGAATAGCACTAATTTAGGGGAATTATTATTAAAATAAACATGAATTCTTGTTCTTGAAAATTCTTGTTTTTCACTAATTTTAATAGGTTTTAGAGAGTAGGACAAATAATCCATTTTTGTATAAGATTAATGTCTTTTTTTACACTTTTTTTTTTACACGGCTTCTTCTGGAACCAATCTCCGTGTAAAAACAGACTTAGGTGTATATGTATGTATGTATATATAAGGTGTTTAAATTTGATGTTGAAATACATGATTAATTTCTTGGAGGTAAATCATAAATAAAGTAAAGATTTCTAAAACATCTTTATTTTTTCATACGTTTTAACGTAAAATTCTACGTTATCATCAGTGGTTTTACAATTTTGAAATAAACAGAAAAAGTAATGTTAAAAACTAAATATAAACAGAGCAAGAATAAGAGAAAAGAACTTTTACTTGACGCCCTATATTATATTATATATATATTGGAGTATGTAAATTTGGTGTTGATATATATTAAAACGAGTGTGTTGATTCAGGCAATACCACTAAGTAAAAAAAAAACTAAAGCAATTAGGAAAACAGCTTTATTAATCCAATCGTTTTTTTTTTATAATTAATTTAGAAAAGAAAATTTTCACAACATATTGGACTTAAAGATAGGTACTTACAGACAAAAACAATCAAACACTACACTACACTTATTAACACAATTGTAACACCAAGCTATCACTAGTTTAAACATTTAAAACTAATTATGAATTAGAGTTAAAAAACTAAATTTGTGTACATAGTTGTTGAAGTCTAAACGCTGAATAAATGTGTTTATAAAGATTTTTTTTTAATAATGTGCAAACTGGTAAAAACATATGGTTTCTGAAAGTAATAAAAAAAAGGGACACGCTTCATTCAGTAATAATATTGTTTGAAAAATTGTCGAGGAATATCTTGTAATCATTGCAGAGAGAATAGCTGCCAAATCTCTTGTTTATTGATTAACGATATTAGACAACATTCACTAAATCTTCTTTTAAATATATTGGTTTCAAAATGTAAAACACTCGGGTTTAGGAAGTCAATGTTATGCTGAAGGTTATTTATGTTTTCTGAAAGCATTGTTATATACTGATTCTTATTTTTTGAATTATTTCTTTGTTGAGAGATTCTTTTGTGTAGATTTTGACTAGTATTGCCAATGTAAAACCCTTGGCAATTTGGAAAATTTAATTTGTATACTAAATTACTTACTTACGGAGGTATAAAATTCTGTTTCTAGTTATGGATTGGATCAAATGTTGAGGATAAGAATTTTTACTTACGATTTGTGATACTGATGAGAGGTTGTTCTTCAAAAATTTATGAGACAATGATATAGCATGATCTATTAAGTTGATAATGGTGCTTATTTTAGTAGGTATCGACTTCAGTAAGTTGGTTCATGAATTGGTATACCCTTTATAAAACGATCTTTACTACGCATGGAAAATTATTTATTTAATTTTTTATTGACTTCATTCGGGATATGGTATGTCTATTTCTTATATATACATACATATATGCGTAAATAGTGGGTAGTAAGGCAGGACTGTGAGCTGAGTTAAACTCCAACTCGATTCACGGAAGAAGTAGTGTGACAGTTTTTTCCATTTCCATTTCACACCGCAGTGTTAGAGATGGGCTTATTTTCAATTGGAAACATATTTAACTTCCCGTAAGGCAAGTTATAGTAATCGCAAAAAATCGAAAATGAAAATTTTTATATATCTTTACGTTTCAAAACCTTCTGAACATTTTGGCATACCTTAGAAAAAATGTATGTATGTGTGTGTGCGTGCGTTTATGTGTGTGTGCGCGGATACAAATTTTCGTCGACGATTTCGGGAACACGGATGAAGCGATTTGAATAATTCAAAAAACATTCGATTCGTATTGATAAGGAGACTTGCTGATTAGTTTTTAGCAAAAGCAGGTCTAGCCGTTCCGAAGATATGGGGCAAAAAGTGCCAAAAACGCTAACTCAGTTTTTAAGAGAACGAAGCGTCCGATTTGAATAATTCAAAAAACATTTTACTTGTATTAACAAGATGAAGAACTGATCAAATTTCCACGAAGGCAGGTCTAGCGGTTTCGGCGATTTAGTGAAAAAAAGTAAAAAAGAAAATGCCATTTGGCGGTCAAAAATGATCATTAGACCGCCAATATGCACATCAAATTATCAGATATTTTATAGAGATTTTAACAATATGTATAAATTTATAGACTCTAACCTCGGGATTCATAGCCAGTACATAGCCTACATTCTGTGCCAAAATACTTGAATTTTTTCACAGTTTTGCAAAACAAAACTCTTATTATTTTTTTCATTACAAAAATTCATGATTATCGACTGGTTAGTTGTATCAATGTTAGTGCAAAATTCTGTGATGTGTACACATTTTTAGATATAAAATACCATGTTCAATATCCATCATATACTGATGATGACATCAAATTGTATGTCGAAACGCTTGGAATTAAAGATTATTTTATAAATCTTTGCCTTTGTTTGATGTATCGCCCGCAAGAACTTACTCATATATCTCAACATCAAAATTAACTACTAAATCATATATATATGTATATATATATATATATATATATATATATATATATATATATAATACACTTATTTTTGTCAGAATTTGTTCGAATTTTGTTACGACTAATATTATATGATTATATAAGCTGATGCTAGTTTTTTTTTATTAATGTCGTCTAATAGAATGGAAAGGAAAAATGCAATACACACATGTACTGTATGAATTTAATACATCAAAGCTGACATGATAATATTTTTAATTATACAGGTTCCATAATGTTTCACGTGCGAAGACGACCAGCCGATGCGCAACCACGTCGGCGGAAAAAGAAACCGCTTTCTGGACCAAACGGTTCCACTAGTGGAGGATTAGATTGGAGCGAAGGACCGGCGTTGATTGAAATGGGACCTCACGGTCAACAATTGGAGGGCGGTCGACGCATTAGAATCAGTTTGGAACCCTTAGAAGTTAGTATTTTGGCAATGGGAATTTTTTCTCGATATACTTGGTTACTTATATATATCCCATTTTTGTTGTGATTATATCCCAATTCGTTTCGAAGTACAATTTGTATGCTATGTAAATAAAGTGGAGAGCGTAATACATGAATATGAATATTATGACATTTGGCGTAGATTCTGAGATACATCAACTTTTTTGGGTTCAAAATACTATTCTTTCAGGTTGGTAGCGCGTCATCAGCCGGAGTCCAATTGTTTGGGCCATTGATTCAGCCTAAACATTGTCTGATTGCAATTCAGGACAATGCGTGTGTGGTCACACCTCTACATACTGATGCTCCAACGTTTGTCAATAATCACCGCATTTACCAGCCCACAGTACTTCACGTACGTTTCACAGTTTATTTTCTTAATAGCTTGAAACAATTTTTAAGAGTATTGCGATAATTGCAATGTTTTATATATTATATATTGAGTCATAAATAATTTGCTTGCATTTTGGCGTAATTTATGCCATGTTTTTATCATTATCCTAATGATTATATAGCAAAATGAGTGAGTTTTAATAGATTATTTATATATCTTTAAGCTTGCAACTAGATTAGGCATCTATTCGGTAATCGGCCTATTCGGCTATTTTTTATTACATTTGGCCTAATACCGATAAACTACCGACTATTCTAGGATGTAGTTAAAATCTTTTTTTTCGTAGATTATCTAATTTTTACTAATAAGCATAAGTAGCTACGTGTGTGCCACAAAATGCTTGATATTTAATACTACACTTGTATGAGATTGAATTCTCAGTTAATAAAATGTGCAGTAAAAATTTAAAAACAACTTATATATATGCAATCATATCTACATGTCGACAGTTAATCTTCCTTTGAAAGTAAACTTTTAATTTTTACAACTGCTTCACAGTATATTTCTTGAATCACGTTGTCACGTTGGCGCTATTAATCACAAATGTCGCAAAGTAATGTTCGTCAGTACCATAGAACACCATACCATACAAATTTTCGTGCTCAAAACCGCCCGAATAGTTTTTCCTCATATTCGGTCATTCGGTTAGGAGGGCTTAGCTGAATATTCGGCATTCGGTATATTACCGAATGTACTCGTTTCGAGCTTAGTTTATAGACATGGTGTTTTGTTTTTTAATTTTTACCTCCGCTTTACACGGAAGATAGGTTCCATAAAAACCGTGTAACTTACATGGAAAATCTGTGCTACACGAAAATCACTATAAAAAAGTCATTTAGTCAATTTTTAATATGATGAATAACAAACATAATGTACAAAAAATAAATATTAATATATTTAATACTAAACACATTTAATAATTTCAATATTACTTAAGTAGCTTTTATTATTTTACGCTACAAATTATATAAATACTAATTAAAAACCAAGTTTAAAAATGAGTATGCTTTTTGTTTTGGTATTTCAACTAACTTACACACACATAAAATTTTGTTTTGATCATAAAACGGGGAGTTCGCATCTTGTCCACATACTTTCATCGTAGACATACAGTGCTCAGAATTCGCAACTGTGACAAAAATTTTGTAGTGTTGTATTTTGACAGTAAAATAATAAAAATATTTTTGTAGATATAAGCTAAGATTATACTTTAGGGTTTATAATTTCATGTAAATGCAAAATTAATAAATTTCGTTAAAAACAATATTGTAAAAAAACGTAAGATCGAAAACGTGTAAAACGGGGGATGTTATGTATATTTATTTATTGCTAATATAACCAGTCTCGATCATTCTTACTCGTCTTTGGTTCATTAATTACAAATAACATAGTCTTTAAATTAAGTATAAACTAAAATAACTTATTTATTAATACAATATTTTGAAAAACTATTTTGTCCATATCGTACGGAGAAAGCGATATATAAGGTAGTAAGGACTTATGGGATACTAATTTTTAAGAGGACTTCATAAATAAACCGTTTGGACCTTCTTGAGATATCAGCACATGGCGCATGAGCCCAAAGAGGAAATCATTATTATTTTCATAAATCTGCATTTGCATTCTTTACTGTTTATTCTATTGAATTTAAAAAATGAAATACATGTAATAACAGTCATGATATTTGAATTACTTGGCTGTGAATATATTATCGCTATTTGTTAAAAATTGTAGTTGACAATTTGTATTTATTTTTTTTACTGTGAAGTTATGCATTTATAAAGGTCAAATCTAGAAAATGTTACATAATATAATTGTTATTTATATTATGTGCATCATGGAAAATTAAAAATGAATCATTCAAACAAAAAAAAAGTTTGAAGGTCATCTAAAAACAAAATCACAAATAATTTTCTAGATTTGATTAATTACATTATTATATTAGTCGACATGCTTTTATGAACAATCTAAAATATTTAGATGTTTGAATGATACATTACGTTAGTTATTTTAGTAGTTGAAAGTAAATTTTAAAATATTAAATGATATTTTTTCACTTTGTGGTGATTATAGATGATCATTTTCGTTTTTGGTATTTGAAGTCACATAAATTTTAAATTCAATTTTTTATTATCCAATCCTTTTCGTAATATTATTTGATTTCCGACTAAACCATTTCAAGGTGAAAAAATTTTAATCGTTACATTCGAAAAAGGTAACTTTAGTGTAGGAAATTTGCAATATTTGCTTTGTACGCTTCTGTTATTATATTTAGTAAAAAAAATCATTAAATGGTAGAATAAACCTTACCATAGAGTAAATTGAAATGCACATTGAATTTTTGCTATCTTATAAACTTGAATTATTTTGTCGACTAATATTACTATCATTCATATTTTTTTAATATATGTTTTTCTGAACAGCATGGGAGTGTTGTAATGTTCGGTAGAGTTGCTTCATTTAAGTATAGTGATTCTCAACAAGATGGCAGACTAAGCAGACATTTAGCAATATCTCAATCTCATCTTGATAATGCTTCAGTATACGACAGGTCAGCGAATTTTGCATTTATTATTAGGTACAATACCCAAAGAATTGTACAATCCTCCAACATCGTATGGAATGCTGCACAAAATTATTAATAATGCTATGCTCTATCATTTACACATTTAATATACATTACAGAGAAGTGCATAATATGCTAAATAATTTATTTAATTTTATTCTTATTCATTCCATTATTATGTTTTTGTGGTACTTAAGGCTAAACCATTGGTTAACAATTTGCAATAGGTCATATTTGAAAATATAATCAGTATATTACTTTTTGCAATCATAGTTCAATGAAATGAACCTATTTTCAAAGGAATACTTTAAATGAAGCAAATGTTATTGTTTAATGAATATTTTTATATTTACTTTCATTTGTTCTCATTTTTGGTTTTTCATGTTGCATGTTGTTGCTTATTATCTCAATGTTGATTGTCCAAAACACCTGCACCGTTTCTCGTGGTTAAAATTTGATACGAAAAGATCGCCAACGTCACCGATATTGAACGAACGAGCATTGAGCCCAATGGAAAACCTGGATGACTTGAATATAGAGACTATGCATCAACAAAAACACACAGGACTCGATATGACAGATTATACGATGAAACACGAAAACGATAATCACATTCTTATCAAAACTGTAAGCTCACATAAAAATAACCATGATGATCCCGGGCGCGACAACATTGAGACTACTTTTGATTTGGATGGAAACGTTGAAACCAAATCAGTTGGCAGCGCTAAAAGCGCAGGGTCTAATCAAGAGAGCAGGTGAACAATATTTTGTATGATTCTACCAAAATTAATTGTGCAGGCGCTAAAAATCATATAAAGCGTTTTTGACCGTTATATTTGGGTTAATAATTCGTTCTAGAATTCACTTTGTGCTGTGATCATGCATCTTTTTATTATTTGCATGCACTGTTACATATTTTTTGCTTCACTTAAATTTCTATTTACATATTCATTACAGCGTGTTTTATTAAAGTGAATGTGATAGCCAGTTCTGTTTAACAATGTTTTCCGAACTATATAACTTCCATGCACCCAATATTTTTTAAATTAATGTAATAATTTGTGAATTAAATATATTAAAGCGATCTACTACTGTAGCTCCTTAACTTACATTTCTGTGAGAGATTAATTTGGGTGTGTTAGCTTTGTAATTATATTTAAATATTTCATATAGAATGAAATGACTCTATTTTACGTAACATTTAAAACATTTTTATATTATCTTATATATGTTTATTTTTAATGAACGTTAGATACTCATTGTATTTAATTCTGACAGAACCAACAATTTAAGAACTGGACAAGAATTAATACTTCCAGCTGTATTGGAATTTCCTGAACCACCTCAAGATATATTTTTGAGGCATGTTATAACTGAACTTGATGTCAATATTCCCACATTTAAATTAGCTCCAGTATATACCCTATATTTGTGTGCAAGGTGAGAACATTTTTCATAGATAATGTTATAAAATGTTTATATTAAATGAGTATATGTTGTTAGATATCGCGCTTCAACACACTACCGACCGGAGTTGCAGCCTACAGAAAGAGCAAATAAGCTGACAATATTATTACATCAAATTGCTAATATTATCCAGGACGTCATCAAGGTATTTTGAATTATATATGATATTAGTTTAAGTATTAAATTCCTGTATTGTAGGTTAATTGAAGCGCAAAAAAATATATATATTTATGCTTCAAAATATTCTAATTATTAACTTTCCGTAAGGTAAGTTACAGTAATCGCAAAAAAATCGAAAATGAAAATTTTTATATAAATTTATGTTTCAAAGGTTTCTGAATATTTTAGCGTACCATAGACAAAATGAATGTATGTGTGTGTTTGTATGTATGTATGTATGTATGTGTGTGTATGTTCGTGTGCGTGTGCGGATACAAATTTTCGTCGACGATTTCGGGAACATCGATCAACTGATTTGAATAATTCAACTAGTGGGGCGCATGGCATCGTGCCTTAAGGCAAATTGCTGGAACTTCCCGTACCAAAAATTTTTTTTTTTAAAAAGATTAACATATTTGACAAAAATTTACTTTTTTTTGAAAAAAAAAACTTTTTGAAGAAAAGTGTATTTTGAAATATTTTGGAAATTCTGAACTTTTTTTCAAAGCAATCGTACTGCCTTAACTGCATAGAGACGAAATATCGAAGCGCGTACGCGCCGCACCGCCGTCTAACGGATAAGCATTGGTACGGAACCCATAGGAATGTAAACAAAATTTATACTTATTGTTAAAATTCTTATAAAATATCTGATAATTTGATGTTTGATGCATATGTCTTAATCATTTTTGTCCGCCAGATGGCGTTTTTTTTTTTTTACTTTTTCACTAGATCTCCGAAACCGCTAGACCTGCCCTCATGAAAATTTAATCAGTTCTTCATCTTGTTAATACAAGTAAAATGTTTTTTGAATTATTCAAATCGGACGCTCCGTTCTCTTAAAAACCGAGTTACCGCTTTTGGCACTTCTTACCCCGTATGCGTTCCTTGATAAGTACATATGATAATATTTTGTGGCCATAACCGCTGGACTTGCCTTCCCAAAAATTTAATCAGTTCTTCATCTTGTCAATACAAGTAAAATGTTTTTTGAATTATTAAAATCGGACGCTCCGTTCTCTTAAAAACTGAGTTACCGCTTTTGGCACTTCTTACCCCGTATCTTCGGAACGGTTAGTCCTGCTTTCGCTAATCAGCACGTCCCCTTATCAATACGAATCGAATGTTTTTTAAATTATTCAAATGGCTTCATCCGTGTTCCCGAAATCGTCAACGAAAATTTGTATCCGTACACACATACACACACACACATACATCCATTTTTTCTAAGGTATGCCAAAACATTCAGAAACCTATGAAACGTAAAGATATATAAAAATTTTCATTTTCGATTTTTTTGCGATTACTATAACCTACCCTACGGGAAGTTAAAAAACATTCGATTAGTATTGATAAGGGGACGTGCTGATTAGCGAAAGCAGGACTAACCGTTCCGAAGATACGGGGTAAGAAGTGCCAAAAGCGGTAACTCAGTTTTTAAGAGAACGGAGCGTCTGATTTTAATAATTCAAAAAACATTTTACTTGTATTGACAAGATGAAGAACTGATTAAATTTTTGGGAAGGCAAGTCCAGCGGTTATGGCCACAAAATATTATCATATGTACTTATCAAGGAACGCATAACATTGCATTTTAAGGACACCAATTTTCAATGATATACTACATAACACATTTTTTTCAATTACAGGATCGATACAAAGACGCAAAATCACTTTCATTCTGGATGGCAAATAGTTCGGAATTTCTACATTTTTTGAAAAGTGACAGGCACATATCAGCTTTTTCTGTACAAGCTCAAGATGTTCTTGCAGAATGCGTGCAAAGTGCGTTTAGGTTAGTCTCCGGCATCACGTATACTATAAATATTATTTATTCCTGAAACAATTTTATTTTTCGCATTATAGATATCTTGTATCTTGCTTTCATGCTGATCTATCTGAGATGTTGGGGCAATTTCTATCAGAAAATATAGATCACGATTCTGCAGCAGGATTGGTAAATTTGTCATTAGTAATGCGAGCAAACAAATACATTAAATTTTTTTTAACTTTTGAATGTGTTTTTAAGGTCTTATCCGTTCTTGGATCAGTTATGGCTTTGCTGAGAAGATGCCGAGTAAACGCTGCACTAACAATTCAATTATTTTCACAATTATTTTATTATATAAATGTCAAATGCTTTAATAAGGTAATATATAATTAAATAAGTTAATTATAATTTGGTGCATAGTGTTTACAGAAAATAATTTTACAGGTAGTTACTACACCACAAATGTGTACTCCGTTTTGGGGCCAACGAATTCAGCTTCGATTGCTACAACTACAGCAGTGGGCGGAAAGGCAAGGATTAGAATTGGCAGCCGATTGCCATCTAGCTAAAATTGTACAATGTACTCAACTATTACAGGTAACTTTGTAAAACGAAAATTTTGTTGAAAATTTTTATTGAAATTGAGAAAAAACTACTTGAATCTTATATATAAAAATGGATCGCAAAATGTGTTGGTAAGCGCATAACTCAACAACGCCTGGACCAATTTGGCCAATTCTTTTTTTAAAATAGTTGTTGATGTCCAAGGATGGTTCTTACGGCGAGAAAAAATCGAATAGTTGCCGGAAAACACTAAAAACAGCCCTTTTCTTTTTTACATACAAACGTTTTCTAACTAAAACGTAGAATCAATTAACGTTTCATATATCATTTTATTCGTAATTTTATTCTGCATCTTTCGTCCGAACAAAGTTTTTTCGTATCTTTCACGGCTTGGATTGTAGAAAACAATTTGTGTGAATATTCAATAGTTCACAGTTTACACTATTCAATATTTCTCTAAAGAAAACAAAGTATTATACATCGTTAGAAAGGTCTCAAAATTCTTAGATCTTTTCCCATATTTTGCAACTTCGAATTCCTAACGGTGTGGCCTACAGGCGAGTTGCAGTAGTAAAATTCAAGGAAAACTAGAAAATCTTGAGAAAATTATATGAACGCACATAACGATTTGTATATCATCTTATTCGTAATTTTATTCGGCATCTTTTATCCAAATAGAATGTTTTCGTTTCTTTTACGGTTTAGTCTGGAGTATGGAATTTGTGTGAATATTTAATTGTTCAAATGCAAAGTACGGTTAGGTTTGAGCAATAAGCTACACTGTTCGATATTTATCTAAAAAAAACATATAAATTGTTAGATGGAACTCCAAGTCACAAGGGCAGAAAATGAACTTCTTTTATTTATTTATTTACTTGTTTATTTATTTATTTATTCATTTATTCATTTATTATACGCTAATCGGCTATATACAGTTAATTATTTACAGTTATTTTGCGAAATTAACTTAAAAAATGCACGTTTTAGTCATGGCCTAATATACTATTAACTATATGTGTCTTACTCGAGAGTTAAAAGTACAAACAGTTTAATTAGTTATGCACCTGCAGGTCTGACAAAAAATATTGTATATCGTTAATTGATATATTAAAAATAAATTCGTTCTAAAAAATGTTGTGTATAATTATTTATATACAATGTTAATAATCATATTTCGATATTTATCTGTTTGATATATGGTATATGTTGTGATGTAGCTGATTTGGGTTTTACTGTATAATTGAAATTTAAGTGTAGAAATTGTACATACATTTCGGTTTTTAGTGTAAAAACATTAATGATTATTTTTAACTAAACGGTAAATACCAGTATAGGTTCTTAAAAAATTGGAGTTTTTAGGCATGGGTGCAGGACAACGTCTGTTGGGTCAGCTAGTTACATAATATTTGTATTACTCTAACATAATATTTGTATTTTAATGTTGAAGTAGTATCTATCAGAATCATATGACAATAAAATATAAATGCAGTAATGATATTTTTACTATAAAAACATGCATAAATCCCTATTATATATAGCTGAAACTAAGTCACTTCTATTACAGTTGGAAACATTTTTCAGTGAGGTATATTATTGTGGTATTTTAGGAAATTTTTATTTTTGTGAGTTATGCAAATTTTTAGTATTGGTCAACTAATTGTATCAATATTGCTTTATTGCAGGCTCATAAAAATATTCCGGACGATATATCAGCAATTAATGAAGCTTGTTTTAAATTGAACTCATTGCAAATTGGTGCATTACTAAGGCAATGCAGTGACAATGTCGCACCGCCACTTATTGAGATCGCGGTTAGGAATGCCGAAAGTATAGCTGATGAACTTATCAAAGGAGATGGTAGAGAGGTATTTATTATTTATTTTCATTTAGGCTAATATTACTTCTTTAATTTTTATTTGTAAAGTTCTTGTTAAATTGTGTATTGTGATATTTCAAGTTTATTTTATTTTTTCATTGTTTATTTAGTCAGTGAATGGTATACAAAAGTAGTAGTTTCTTTCTATCATGCACTCAAGCAGGTCTTATTTTATTTCATATATAAATTTAGTAGATAGATAGTTTTTTTTTTTTTTAGATATTGCTGGAAGAATGCAGTGAGTTATCATTGGCATTACTATTACCTGATGATGGATTTTCATGTGATGTAGTAAAGGGTGTGCCTCATGGACTTGTTGATTTTTTGCAACCACTTCAAAGTGCTGGCCTTTGCCGCCTTGCTGTACAACCGACGAGCATTGGTCATTGGACTGTTTATATGCATCATTATCATGTCAGTAATTTTATTTGTTATTATTATATATGTAAAATAAATCTGAATGTGCCAATTGTTATGTCAAAACCAGAAATTTTTGTAGTATTTGGTATGGATAGAAACATTCTCGAGTTATAAGCATAAAAGCAAAGGGCTATTTAGGAAGATGTCTTATTTGTGTATAGCACTTACAGATTACGCTATTAATGAAAATGGAAAAACACACGCATCGACAACGTATTAATATTATTAAAATTCAACGTTGGATTATCACATTTCTTTATTGTTAATTTATATAATTAATTAATTCATATTTATATTTAATTGTTATATATCTATATATTAATTGGATAACGGTTACGTTTGAACAAGACGATGCTACATGCAACACGAGCATGCGAAAACATCTTTTGGAGAAAATGTCTATCTCCCTAAGAAGTGATCTCAGTAGGTCATAGATATCTTGTCAAAAATAGAATTCATAAAGCTATTCAGGGCTTATTCGTAAAGCTGATGGGAAAGTAGACTTGAGTGGGTTCAAAAATGTAAAGAAAAAGAGTAATTAATGGCTATTTAATGTTCAATATGCACCCTTATTATCACAAGTTTGAGTTTTATTCAATGATTTCTTATGGGTACAGGTAACCCCCGCATAACACAGTAGTTACATTCTAAAAAAGTAGCGTGTTGTAAGAATCCGTGTTATACGGGGCAAAGCACTAGTACAAAGAGAGGGGTTACGTTCCAATAATACAGAAAAACAGTTATTTTTATTTATTTTTTTAATGAGTAATATACATTACATGAATTGATTTTTTTTTATCATGATTAACAATTGAGTGCTAACCAACACGATTCTTTTTTTTGCAAGGTATCCTCATCCTCTGAGCAGTGTTCTGTACTTCCAGATCCGTGCATTATTTTTTGTAAAAACAATATATTTGCTATTACTTGCTTAGATATTTATATATTTACCACATGCAAAGTTATCTTTATTTTTGTTTAAGACTAATTAACTAATTGTTTAGATAAGCCTAGAATTTTTTTCTATAGAACGAACGCGCTCAAATAATAAGTATCAAATTAGTTATTTTTGCATTAATTTCATCACATTTTTTGAGCTATTGTATTGCGATTTTACTAATTTTAGATTAAATAATGTTTGATTTTTATAGGTTTTACTATATTTTTATTTTATTAGGGTTTACCATGTTAAAAGGGCGATGGTATCAATTTTTAAACCGTGTTAGAGCGAATCCGTGTTATAGAAGTACCGAGTTATGCTTTACTATTACTTGTCAAATATTATGATATTTCTTAATAATATAAATTCTAATACTCACAATAATGTAGGCTTTTAATTTAATGCTTTCTAATAATTCTATTACTTTATTTCATTATTATTATTCTTTATTTATTTTTTCATCTTCTTTTTATTCTAATGCATAACAATTTTAATAAATCAATCACTATACTACTAATATAATAATTGTTTTCAATAACTCTATATAAACATATCACTAAAGGCATAATTGGATTCTGTATTTATTGGTAATTAAAATTATTTATCTACCAATTGTTATTCTGTTTGTTCTATTAAATTTATTGCCTTATATTAATGTATTGCATTAAAATTCTATGTTTAAATCATTTATTTTTATTGCAATTATAGGCAAGATCTTCTAGTGCTCTGTCAAACAAAGCAGGCCAACCTGAAATTCAAGTCATTAAATTGCACAAAAATTCTAATGGAATGGGCCTTTCTATTGTAGCAGCTAAGGTATTCTACATTAATTTTATTATTTTTATCAACTTCGTCGTGAGACTAAATCTTATTACTGTTTAACTATATATTTTCTTTTATTCAGGGAGCTGGCCAGGACAGGCTAGGTATTTATATAAAGTCTGTTGTTGCTGGTGGAGCGGCAGATTTGGACCAAAGACTTCAAGCTGGAGATCAACTACTTAAAGTCGATGGACAGTCTCTGATTGGAATCACACAAGAGAAGTTTGTATTGTTTTTTATCAAGGCTTTATTATCTATAAATTTTTATTTAATAAACGAAATATAAAAGGACTTTTTTACATACAACTTTGATCATCATATAAACATTAAATGTCACAATAATTAATTCTTTTATATTTATATAGGCAAACAAAAGCGAATTGATGTTCAAAATGCAGAGTGACACAGCTTTGATATAGTACTTTTTTCATTGCAAATATATAGCAGCAAAGATTAAAAAAATATTCAATACGTCAAATTATTGTGCATTTTAAATTTTATTAGTTTAAATTCTTTTGTATGAGAACTTCTTTTATAATTTGAATTTGTGTGATTATCATTAATTTATTATTTTGTGATACATAGTGACGTAAATTGTAGTATATGCATTGATGATATTACATTTTATTTTATGAATTCTGTTTTATTGAAGATATCTAACAATATTATTTAAATTTATCAAGGGCTGCAGAATTTTTAATGCACACTGGTGCTGTTGTAACATTGGAAGTTGCAAAACAGGGAGCTATTTATCATGGTCTGGCTACATTACTTCAACAACCGAGTCCACTTTTGAATCAAGGTATTATTACATAGTTTTATAGTTGTGTGTTCTAATAATATTAATCAAAGACTTAAAGTAAGAAATTTTTCAGGTCATTTTACAACACCTATAATAACTCTTAGCGAACCATATTCTCAAGACCCTAGTTTTGAAATTTTGAGTTCAAATGATAGTATAAATACTAATTACAATCATAGTTCAAATAATTTTGTAAGACCATGCAATATTGCGCTACAAAATTCTGATCAAAATATAAAAATTGAAAATAAACCTGATAGTAGTGATATCCGTAGTGAGTACAGGTTTAATCAGAGACTGTCTAATTCAATCTTAGGCATGAATATGTTCTATAAAAATAAACAATTCTCACAAGATCAAAGGAAAAATAGAAAATTAACTACATACTTTTCAATAAATAATCTAGTGTCTCAAGAGTTGAATTCAACAATAAATTCAGGTGACACTATTGATTTACAAGATATTCCTTTTATTGATGATAATGTTAATGATTATTCTCCAGAAGAACAACTTGTACAGAAAATTGAATATTTAAAATTAAAAGATCAGACAGACAAAAACACAATAGAGAAATTCGAGTTTATAAATTCAAATGATCCGACTTTTATAAGTAATTCTATTGAGTTTGATAAAGAACAAAAAAGGGAATCTATCTCAAGTGTAGTAATTTCAAATTTAAGTGAAACCAACAAAAAGCATCAACATAAATTTTCTGATGAGTGTATGAGCGTGTACTTTCCAAAAAATATTAAAACAGAAAGTGATGTTGCACAGCGATCAAAACTGAATGAGTTGCATTTGAAATTGGATTTGAGTTGTCTACATGATTCTGATGGTAGTGATAATTCTATAATTATAAACGATAATACTATCAATATCAACAGTAATTCTCAATCATCTACTAAATTCATAGTCAATCCACTAGAAAAAGTTTCTCATTGTAAATTTTGCAGTAGATCTTTGAGTGAACTAGAAGATATTGGCAAAAACAATAGGACTCTACATGATGATATTAGCACAAGTTATTTTAAACAGGATAAAGATAAACTAACATCACCTGAAAAAAAAGTGATTTTGATGCAACTTGAAGAATGGAGTAGACATGGTATTTTTGGCCAAAATATATATGATAAAGGTGGTGACATGAAAAAGGAAAGTTTAGTAAATTGCTCTAGAAATAACGACAATACTAATTCAAATAAATTTCAAGAACTTTGTGAGGGTAAACATGATAATACTGTGAACATCTACGCAGTTAATAATTTCTGTGAATATGGGGCACATAATTTAAACAGAATATGTGGAAATTTTGCAAAAAAATATCATTCAACACCATATCTAGACCAAAAACCAGTAGCGAAACAAAAATTTCCGTATGCCTACATAGTTAAGTCTGCTAAAACAAAATCAAATAGTTGTCCTGATCTTGATATACAAAGTAAATCCTTAACTTTTGATAAACATTTTTCTACATGTTTGTCTCAGAAATTAGTGAAATCAGCACCATCTATAATGAGAGTAGTAAAATTAAAGAATAGGAAATTAAATCAGAATTCGACGCCCAGATATGGATGGTTTGAATTTAAAAATTGTGAGAAAAACTCATATGTATCAGCACCTCCATCTACAGAAGAAGAAATATGACAACGTATGCATTTGAGATTTTTACCTGGTTTAAATTTGTCGTCACGCACGCGATATGCTACTTTTATGATGCACATTATTTTTGTTATTAGGATTGTTAGACGTTTCTTTTAGTTTTTAATTTTGCATGGTCATATCCCTAATGTTTTTATTAAGCCAATATGCATTGTTTACACTCTTAGGCGAATGAAGAATTAGAAAGAATTATGACCTGTTAAAATGATTAAATCTACATCTTTTGTAGGCCCAAGAAGAATGTCGGAACGCGATTTGCCGTCACGAGTTAGTGCAGAGGGCTCGGTTAAATCTATTCTGCCATCTAGTAAATCAGTACCAGCACTGCACCATGGTGGTTCTTCGATGCAGGAAATGTTAGTATATTATGAAGGTTGCTTTTTGACTAATATATTAGTTTTAGGCAGTGTTACGAGTCCTTATATATTTTTTTATCTTAATGTAAACATAGTCAATATCTATTTTCTTCATAATTAATTTATTTATTTTTGTGAACTTATGATCAGATTTTTCAATTGTGTCTTCGTCAATATAAGTGGCATTTTGACCTAATGCAAATTGCATGAACTTTCCAATAAAATATTCAACTGGTTTCACATGTAAATAATTGAGATAAAATTTTCAACAGTATATTTCAAAAGTAAAGTTTGCATATTCACTAAAAACTAATCAATCAGATTTCCAATTTATATGTTTCAAGAAATTTTATAATTTCTGTAATTGTATTCATTATAGTACGCAACACGCGCTTGCATGTTTTCAATAAATTTTTATAATTCAACCATTTTAGCTTATTTTTTAGCTTACGACTTTTTTTGAGAAAAAGTTATCAAGGCAAGTGCTTATGGAGTATCATCAAATGTCTTGTCAAATTTTTGAAATCAGTGCGTTCGATGAAAGATCAAATTTTGGCTCACATACAGACACATATATACTATTTTATTATTTTGGTTTCAAACGATTTAGAATCATTGAAACGTCAAAGAAGGATTTTTTCAGAAAGACTAGAGTTTTGTGAAAGATCTTTGACACTACCAAACCCCATGTTGTACGCAGTTGCATGTATGTACTGGCATGTTTAGATCAACATATCGCAAATAGTTGATAATTTGATGATAAAACCTAAATTTTAACCTCTTACAACAATATCTATTTACTAGTCTATCATTAATAGTTTGCGCGTAAGTAACTTATGAGCTGTTGATCGAGAACTGTGTTACCGAAGGACCGTCACAATTTCAGTCCGCGTAGCATGGAAACCGCGTTCACATAGTATATGAATATTTGACATATTATTCTAAGGAATTGTAAAATATATCAATAATCATAAATAGTATGTATATAATTGGCACTGATAACTTACACTAAAACAGAACTTGTAGATTAACAAGTGATTTTTTTAGAGAAACATTTCTATTAGTTATACTGTATCTGCTCAAACTTTTCTTGATTAAATTTATATAAATGTATATAGACTGATATGATATTTTTAATTAATATTTTTTATAAATTTAGGTCAGTGCAATCAGCTAATTTAAAATCTCATAGCACCCATAACTTAACACAAAATACAACACCACAGCAAGATCAAGGTTTTTATCAAAACCTAAGTGTATATAGAGGAAATTCATCACAGCCAAATTTAGATCGGTAAGTTATTAAATTGATTCAATATTATTGATTTTATTGTTAATATTGAACTTTAATGTTTTAGTGGATCAGGTTTAAGGTCCCCACAGAATATGGTTCAACAAAATGTGCATCAGAGTTCTAGGCCAGCTTCAGCATACTTTCCTAACCAATCTCAGGTGCCAATACAAACTTCCAACCAACCTGTTTCTAATCTTAGATCTCAAAGCACTAAAGATATTGCAAACTTTTCGCGTGAAAATCTTGCACAACAAAGTTTAAGAAACACACAAAATTATAATTTAACACCTAGCATGCCAAACATCACTTCCAATGTGCCACAAATGATGAATAATTATAGTGGCCAAATGTTAAATCACAGCATGTCCAATGTGTCACAAGTCAGTAATACGCAATCATTGAATCATGCTATGCCAAATGCAGCCCAGCAATACAGCATGAGGCATGGTAGCACCACATTGCCAATTGCTTCCAATCAATTATTACATCATACACATTCTGTGGACCAGGTCGGACAAAGTATGTCGAACAGTCAAAGAGGGTTAGCCAAGATGGCCGAGATGTCAGAGGAGGTTCGAAGGAGACAATACAGGATTTCCAACACTGGCCCATTATCCCCAAATCGAACACGGTAGGCGAAATTAATGATTATGAAAAACTATGTTAAAATATGACTATAAAAAAACGTACGTTTGAAATTAATCATAATTATTGGACAATTACCAACTTTTCAATGTACAATTAAACTTCACTTTTTGAAAAGTTTTACGGTATGAAAAAATTATAAATTTAATTAACTTCGCGTCGGGTATGTTATAGAATATGAATTTTTTTTACATATTTTTACGTTTTAGAGGTTTCTGAACATTTTGGCATACCTCAGAAAAAATGGATGTATGTGCATGTGTGTTTTGTGTGTCGCCATTTTTTCGATCGCGTTTTCGGGTGCAGGGACAACCGATTTGAATGGTTCAAAGAACATTCGATTCCTACGGAAATGTGCTGATTAGTTTTTGGCAAAAGCAGGTCAAGCTAGCACGGAGCAAAGAGCGCTGAAAATAGAAATCGAGTTTTTGCAAGAACAGAGTATGCAATTTGAATGATCCTAAAAACATTCTAGATTAGTTTTTGCGTTTTTGGCGAAGGCATGTTCAGTCATTTCAAAAAATGGCAGTTTTTGAGAGAACTAAGATAAGATTTGAATGATTCAAAAAACTTTCTGATTTTGTTGACAAAACAATTGCTTTTGGAAAAAAAATTGTTTCAATTTTTTTTTTCAATTTTTTTTTTGTATATCTAAAATAATTCAGATTTTAATTTCAATTCTGGCTAAAGTTATAAAGCTCACTTATATACTTTAAATAATTTTAACTTAAAAATATTAATGTTACAGTATTTATAATAATCTATTTGAAAACATTTAATATTCCTTGAATATTTCGTTACGGTACGGGCAATTTGCCTTAAGGCACAACCTTTAAAACCTTTGTGCAACCTAATTGTATTTAATGTGCAAGTTTTTGCTAATAATGATTTTAGGACAATAAAATAAGTAATCACTAATTTTTAAATCTGTATTATATATAATTTTATGTATTCTATGTATTATGTACTATATACAATTATATATTACAGATGAGAAACATTTAGCAAATGAAAAAATATTACATTCAATAATTTTGGTTTAATATCACGCTTGTACTAAAATAAAGTTGACAAATTATTTTATTGTTTGATATAATATGTGAAAACAATTTCAGACCACTTTATGGTGTTGAACCACAAGGATATCAGGGAAATATATTATCTTCGCCTGTTAAACAAATGCCAAATATAGCTCCTAAGCCTCAGGTTAGTCAAAATAAATTGATATTATGACTGAATATGCATATTATGTGAGCACTTACATAATCAAATCTAGTTAATTAAGTCTGTAGCCTCTATTAAATATATTTGTAAGGTTTTGTACTAATTTTTTGCTGCTTCTTATAATATTTGTATCAGATATGTGATCACAATTTGATGCCTAAATTGTGTTAATTGATATGGTATATACATAACCTTGCATTAAATTTCATTAGGCATTACAGGTTTTAATGTAATGTGACATATTATAAAATAATTTTTGTAGATAAAACAAACTAAAGGCCAAGATGAAGGTGCATTATCGCCTCCTATACCACCAACATCCACGCATCCTTTATATAGAGGCAATAACAACCAAAGTGCCGGTCATCAGCAGCAAAGCAACATACCTCAACCAAATATGCAATTTGCACAATCACACCCAAATATAAATCAACAGCAAATGCAACAATTGTCACTATCTAATCAATCTTATAATAGTCAACAAATGAGTGGTTCAAATGTACCTACACACAATCCTTTGCAGCAGCAACAATCTGAATATGGAAACCAATTTAGCCCTCAATTTCCAAACCCAGGCACTGGCTACACAGCCAGTATGGCAGACCCACCTAGAGTAAATTTTTATCCTATGAATGTTCAGGGATTGCAGTCACGCCCTGGTTTTGGAGCAAATAATCCATGGGAAAGAGAGGAAAGAGAAAAGGTAATATAATAATACATTTCATTAATGTTCAAGAACAGAAAGAATATCTTTATTCATCTATAAATATATATACATATATACAGTACAGGCCAAAAGTTTCCGGACACATGAAAAAAATCTCATTTTCTGAGTTTTTAGCTATATTTTTTATATAAAAATAATTTTATTCAAGTTAGTTTTGTACATTCTACCTAGTATTAATATTTAGTGACTGATCTGTAACCAATTTGTGAGAAATGATAGACTAATTATCAATGAAAATGTTAAAATGTCACTGCAGTCGATTTTCTTGAATATGACCACCCTTTGCTTTGATCACTGCAGCGCATATTTTTGGTAATTTTTCGACGAGTTTTTGCAATGTTTGCGCAGGTATGTTCTTCCAGGACTCGTTAAGGCAATTCCACAAGGCAGGGAGGTTGGTTGGATGCAAATCCTTCACGCGGCGTTCAAGCTCGTCCCACAACAGTTCTATTGGATTAAGATCCGGCGAGTGTGCAGGCCACTCCATTATTTGAAGTATTTTTGAAGAATTTATCGTCTGAAAAGCGAGCTCAAGTTGTTATTTTGAAAGAAACAGGCAAATCATATCGCGATATCGCCAGAGTTACTACTGGTACCTAAATACTTTTAGCACAAAATGCAGTGGCAAGATATCATGAAACAGGCATCAATACTGATCGAATTCGATCTAGTTGACCTCGGAAAACCTCGAATAAAGTCGATGACAAGATATACAACATCAGCAATGCAAATCGATTCAAGTCCGCTTCAGATATCCGAGCTCAAATCAATGAACGGTTGGATGAGCCAATATCACTCACGACGGCCAAGCGCCGGCTTCGAGAAAAAGGTATGATTGGTCGTGTTGCCATCAAAAATCCACTTTTGCGAGCAGTAAATAAACAAAAGAAATTGCAATTTGCCAAAATCCACTTAAATTGGACCATCGATCAATGGAAATCAGTGTTATGGACGGATGAGTCAAAATTCGAACTTTTCGGAAATCATCGACGTTAGTATTGTCGTAGGAAGGGTAATGAAAGACTCAATTCTAAGTGTATTTCGCCGAAGGTGAAGCACGGTGGTGGTTCAGTGATGGCTTGGGGTTATTTTGGATTCAATGGAGTCGGATCGTTTGTCAAAATAGATGAAACTTTAAATAAAGAACAGTTTCATAGCATACTTCAGCGCCACGCCATTCCATCTGGTCTTAATTTAATTGGTCCAAAATTTATTTTTCAACAAGATAATGACCCTAAACACACTTCCCGACTCTGTGCCAATTATTTGAAGCGAAAACAAGACGAAAAAATACTTCAAATAATGGAGTGGCCTGCACAATCGCCGGATATTAATCCAATAGAACTGTTGTGGGACGAGCTTAAACGCCGCGTGAAGGATTTGCATTCAACCAGCCTCCCTGCCCCGTGGAATTGCCTTAACGAGTCCTGGAAGAACATACCTGCGCAAACATTGCAAAAACTCGTCGAAAGATTACAAAAAATATGCGCTGCAGTGATCAAAGCAAAGGGTGGTCATATTCAAGAAAATTGACTGCAGTGACATTTTAACATTTTCATTGCTAATTAGTCTATCATTTCTCACAAATTGGTTACAAATCAGTCACTAAATATTAATACTATGTAGAATGTACAAAACTAACTTGAATAAAATTATTTTTATATGAAAAATATAGCTAAAACTCAGAAAATGAGATTTTTTCATGTGACCGGAAACTTTTGGCCTGTACTGTATATATATATATATATATATATACATAGCTGGGCATTAACTCGTTAATCCGTTAATTAACGAAGTTAACATTTTGATTAACGGATTAACTTTTAAGTTAACTTTTAAAAATGTTAACGGACACGTTAACTTCCGTTAAAATGCGAGAAGTCCGTTAATCGTTAATCCAATGCCTACTATTTACCGCACGGCACAGCTTTAGCCAATGCCTTATTAAACGGCATAGAGAAAAGATTTGGACTACTCCTGAATGATGAACAGTGCCAACTTGCTGCGGCATTTCACCCAAAGTTTCGGTTAATGTGGCTGGAAACGTATGACAGCAGTAGAGAGGATGCAGTAAGAAAATGCACGGAAAAAAGGTAGAAGATGCCTTATGGCAAGAAGCAGCGAAAAATTCGATGGACAGAAATAGTTTAAGTGGCGGAGGGAGCAATGCGAGTAACAACGATGATGACGAGAAGGAAGACTTTTTCAATTCTGTCACTCAGTCTATAGAAAAACCAAAGAGCTACAAACTCTTTAAAGAATAAAGCGCAAATTCTCGTTAAAATGTGGCTGGATATGAAATCAAAAGACTCGTTCAACGATGCTGCATTCCTCGGGGAACAGATATTCATAAATCTATTTATTAAATACAATACTGCTATACTCTCAAGCGCTGCAGTTGAACGTTTGTTTTCCACGGGTAAAGACATTTTGACACCAAAACGAGCCTCGCTTTCAGACGAGAACTTCAACATGTTAATGTTCATGAAGGGGAATATGCACCTTATGCCCGACGCTTAACCCGTCGCGCGTTTCCTATTTTTCGCAAAAACTAGCTGTAAATGGAATTCTGTCTTAAGGCAATTAAGGCATCGTTCTTTAAGGCAAATTGCTGGTACTTTCCGTACCTAAAATTATTACTTTTTTAAAAACGATTAACATTTTTGAAAAAAAATTACTTCGAAAAAATAAGATTTTTGGACAAAACTATTGGACAAAAAATTAATTTTTTTGGAAAAAAAAAATGTTTTCTTTATTTTGACATATTTTGGAAGATCTGAACTTTTTTTCAAAGCAATTTTACTGCTTTAGGACTGCATAGAGACAAAATATAAAGCGCGTAAGCGCCGCGTCGCTGTCTAAAGGATAAACATTGGTACGGAACCCATAGGAATGTAAATAAAATTTATACTTATTGTTAAAATCTCTATAAAATATCTGATAATTTGATGTGCATATGTCTAATGATCATTTTGACCGCCAAATGGCATTTTTTTTACTTTTTTCATTAGATCTCCGAAACCGCTAGACCTGTCTTCATGAAAAATTGATCAGTTCTTCATAATTGTCAATACAAGTAAAATGTTTTTCGAATTATTAAAATCGGACGCTCCGTTCTCTTAAAAACTGAGTTACCGTTTTTGGCTCAATTTTGCCTCATATCTTCGGAACGGCTAGACCTGCCTTTGCCAAAAACTAATCAGCACGTCTTCTTATCAATACGAATCGAATGTTTTTTGAATTATTCAAATCGGTTGATCCGTGTTCCCGAAATCGTCGACGAAAATTTGTATCCGAATACACATACATACACACACACACATACATCCATTTTTTCTAAGGTATGCCAAAATATTCAGAAACCTTTGAAACGTCGAGAAATGCAAAAATTTTTATTTTCGATTTTTTTGCGATTACTATAACTTGCCCTACGGGAAGTTAAAAAAAACTCTTTTCCTTTATTTAGAAAAAAATTCTTGTAAAAACAATATGCAATCATAAAAACGGAAAGTTGACCAATAGCGTTATCACGGTATGTGATAATTGTGCCATTTTCCTTATACACACGGAAGTGTGCATAAAACGCGCGAGGGGTTAAATTACACACTTGAATTATACAAGTATTTTGTTTTATTCATAACCTGTTAACTTCCAGAACCTAAACTAATAAGTTTTTTTAAGTTCACTAACGCAACGATATAAAAATGTAATTTCACACATATTAACGGATTAACGATTAACGTTAACTTGCGTTAATTCTTCCGAAATGTAACGCTTTAACGTTTAACGAAGTTAACTTTTTTTGTAGCGGATTAACGATTAACGAAGTTAACTATTTGATTAACGGTGCCCAGCTATGTATATATATATATATATATATATATATATATATATATCATAGTGTAGTGTGATTAGTAGCAATAAATATAAAATTGTTATGTTCATAACTTATAAACTTGATACGTATTCATAATTATTTCATTTTTACAACACTCGCATTTTATTAGGCCATTAAATTTGCTAGATTATATTTTTATTTTTTAATATGTCGAATACTAAATATACTAATGTAAAATATTTTGTAATTGCATTTTTCGATTATGAAAACTTATGAAGTGTAAATTATAGTGAAAATTCAGCCTGTCTAGAGATTTTTTTTCAACTGTTTTTCTGAAGAAATCTGTCATTAAAATAAAATTACCTGGATACCATGAAATTGAAAAAGCAAGAACACCAATAAATCATTTTTGTTTAAATGCCACAATAAAATTTATAAGAAATCATTTGACTGTGTACCTACAATGTCTTTTAATAAATTTGAATTTTTGATTTTTATTTGAATTTTAATGTTGTGATTTTGCTACATTATCAGTTCATTAAATTTAAATTCAGTAATATTATCAAATAATTTCCATTTAAAGGAACTTGAAGCAAGGCGCGAGCAGACGAGACAATGGAGAGATCAACAAATAGCTGAACTGTCTTCATTGCAGTCGAGAACTCCACAACAAGATGAGCAATTGCGTGCATTGAAATTGGAAAGGGAATTCCAACGAAGAGCACAAGAAGCTCAAAACGAAGAAGAAATTGAACAGGATAAGGTAAGGGCTGTAGTCTTATGTATTTTATTTTTGTTTCGTTATTTATGCCGAAAAAGTTATTTTTAAATTTAAAAAACAAACTAAAATTTAGTAGTCGTTAAAAATAAAAAATATTTAAAAAAATGTATTTTTTATGACATCGAATTTTTGGGATTAGTCAATTAGATTAGCAATTCAAAGCAAGAAAACATTCCAGCTCATGAAAGGAAAACAAAAAATTTCATAACATTCATTTTTAAACAACATAATATGAGTTGGAAATTAAAAATCAATCGAATATTTTCAATAATCAAGAGTGCGAAATCTATTAAATTATTTTCAATGCAAACTGTATATATATGATATATATATATATATATATATATATATATATATATATGTTTAATTTGAGTTTAATATTCGGGCGTAACATAAATAAAAATAGTATGAGTTTTTTTTAAAAATTTATTTATTTAAAATCCATACGTTTCGGCTAGCATCTTAGCCATCATTCAGTGGTAATCAAGTTAACTATAAAAATTGAAACTAAATAAATTATATGAAAGGAAATTTCATTGAAAAACAATAATAATAATAATAGTAATAAAACACTTACAATTTTGTATCCTAATATAGCATATGAAACCATTATTAATCCATGGTATGAGTATGTGCACATTGATAAGATATATATTTTTTAACACAAACATCACAAATGGTAAAACACACTAATAATCATGATAACTTAACAAGTTGTCGAAACTATGTATTTACTCTTTGGAGTTTAGGATAGAAATGTCACATTTTTCTCAAAGCAGTTTTTAGCATGTGTTGATATTTTTTGGAAAATTTAAAAGGCGATGGGATTTTGTTATTTTTTAAGGAATTTTGACACGCTATTAAGAAACCACGTGTTCGTTTCGTTCAGGGCCGTATTGTCAAAGCGTTTGTTTATGACTCTGTCGTTATGTAATTGTAAAAACAACCCCTCAGCGAATCTTCTTTTAATTGTATTCTCTTCAAAATGTAAAATTTTAGGGTTAAAAAAATCGATATTATGATTTAAATTTTTAATATGCTCAGTTAACATTGTTTTAAATTGCTTGGGATTTTTTGAATTATTTTTGTGTTGATTAAGGCGTTTACTCAGGTTTTGGCTAGTTTCTCCAATATAAAAGAGTTCGCAATTAGAGCAATTAATTTGATATACCAAATTCCTGAGGCGGTCAAAATTGAACTTAGATTTCATTTGTGTAAAAATTGAACTAAGGGTTGCATCACAATTACATGCCAACAGAATGCCACACTGTTGAAATAGTTTTTTCCACGAGAAATATAAATCTTTTACTTTACGAGAAATATAAATCTTTTACGTACGGTAGGCAAATGACACCAGTATATGATTCTAAGTCTAAGCGGTTTTTATGGTCTGTGAGGTCTTTTTGTTTGTTAAAAATGTAACTGCGTCTGTTATTTATGACCGAGTTGATTATGTTCGTAGGATATGAGTTGTTTTTCAGTGTGTTTATAACCAGGTCAATGTTCGTGTCCCAGAAGTTTTTGTCAGATAGTAATATGGCGTGGTCTGTTAAATTTATTATTGTCGCTATTTTCATTAAGTTGCTAAGATGCTAGCCGAAACGTATGGATTTTAAATAAATAAATTTAAAAAAAAAACTCATACTATTGTTATTGATGTTACGCCCGAATATTAAACTCAAATTAAACATATATATCAACATCAAATTCAAGACTATTCAAAAAAAAATATATATATATATATATATATATATATATATATATATATATATATATATTTTGTATGATTCTGAATTTGATGTTGACATATGTATTAACAAAGTCTAATAATCGGGCATAACATCAATAAAAACATGAATTTCTTTCAAAAATTTATTTTAAATCCATACGTTTCGGCTATAATCCTAGCCTTCATTCAGTGGAAACTAAAAATAAAAAACTAAAACAATTGAATTGGAGTGAAAATAAAAAATAAAATAGTAAATAGTGCTTACAATTAGTTGATCTTAGTGTTAAATTGGAAAATTTTAATAATCCATGGTATCAGGATATGGTAATGCACTACACTATGTATTATAAACATTAACTTGAAATTACACAATATTTTCACAAAATACTAATTTTTAAAAATCACAAATGGATAGTGTGTTCTTCAACCAGTCTACGAATAACACACTATCCATTTGTGATTTAAATAAATTATTCATTAAATGATAATTTTACAAACGTTTCGAGACTAGGTTTGTCTCATCATTTAAAAACTAAAATATGGAAAGCTAAATTAGCATTATGTGTTATCCGTTACAAAATCCGTTGAATCCGTTTCAAGCCATTCTGAACCGAATGAGATCAAATTTGGAAAATGTATGTGTGTGTGTGAACAGATTTTTTGCCGTAACGACGTTTTCCCAAAAACGGCTGGATCGATTTCAAAAATTTAAATTCCATTCGATGTATCTCGATGCGGACTGTTGTTTGTCAGTTTTGTGCAATGATCGGCTAAGCCGTTTCTTTATAAATAGCAAAAGTGAAAAATTTTTCATCAACGTTTTAGCCCGCAATTCTGAATCGATTTTGAAAAAGCAAAAACCGTTTGAAAGATATTGGTTGGGAATCGTGCTTATTAGTTTTTGGTAAAGACAGGCAGAGCAGTTTTCTTGCAATAAAGTGTTAAAAAAAATTTTTTTGACGATTTTCATGAGTTTATTTGCCGGTAGATACCATATAGGGTTTATACAAAACCGACATTTTAGGAAACCGGTTTTCTAATTTTAATTTAACCAGAAAACCGGTTTTCGAATTTTATATGGAAAATACATTTTTGCTCGAAAATTCAGTATTTTTTTATTTTTATTTTTACTTTATTTTAACAATTAAAAATACAAAAATAATTTATATGAGCTGAACAGTACATTTAATTAAGTATGATATTATATAAGATAATCCAGTGATATATCTTACTTAGTTTACATAAAATCGATTGGCCATATCCTTTTCAGTCTTCTATTGTCATGCGGTAGTAAGATGTCTGCAACTATTGGGTTTGGGTGGGTCTCTAATTTATTTCTATGGATTAAGGCACGCTCTTGTATGTTTAGCCGGACTGTTAACATTTTCAAGTCATTGTGTATTGTAAAGTTTGTCACGTACCATAGTGCGTTTGGAATTGATCTTAGAATTTTATTTAGCATTCTTTCTATTATTGCAATATTTTATTTTGAAGCAGTGCTCCATAACTCTACGCCATACATCCAAATTGGTTTCATTACACACTTATACAATAGTAATTTGTTCTCTGCAGATAATTTAGAGTTTCGGTTTATTAGCCAATATAATTCTTTCATTTTCTGTTTAATTTGATTCTTTTTTTTTATTATTATGATGTCTCCATCTTAATTTCTTATCTAGATGCATACTCAAGTACTTTACCACATCTGATTTTGGGACAGGTTTGTTGTTTAGGTAGACTGTGGGGCATGTATTATGACGTAAGGTAAACGTTACATGTACACATTTATCTTCATTAATATTTATTTTCCATTATTCCAACCATTTTTGTAGTATATTTAAATATCTTTGAGTTTGTTCAGATGCTTTAGAGGCGTTTTGATTCCTGATGAATATTCAAGTGTCGTCGGCAAAAGCGGCTAATGTTGAATTTTAAAAATCGGTATGTCTCTAGTAAAAAGAATATATAGAAAGGGGACAAGAATACTTTCTTGAGGCACTCCGGATTGAATCTTAAAAAATTGTGAAATTTCAATATTCACTCTTGTTTGAAAAGTTCGGTTTTCTAAATACGACTTTAATATTGGATCGAAAATTTCTGGTTAGTATTGTTTAATCTTGAAAAGTAAACCACGATGCCATACTTTGTCAAAAGCTTGTTTTATATGTAGAAAGATTCCGCTGCAATACTCTCTATTTTCAAATGTTTCATTGATAATTTGAACTAACCTATGAACCTGCTGAATGGTAGAGTGCCTGTTTCGAAATCCAAATTGATTTGGAAATTGAAATGGAGATTGAAAGCAGTATTTGACTGAATTTATTTATTGTTCAATTTTATGGACAGCAAACAAAATAATTTTAATTTTAATTAGTAGAACAAAATATAATAGTTTACCTATTTTATTTATATATTTTTAATAAGGATTAAAAAACTTTGAAGATAATTATTCGTTATTTATGCATCATTTTCACATATAATAATAAAAATATTTTTATAATAGTGAAAGGAAGAAAAAAAAACTAAAAAAAATATTAGATACAGGTTTATACTGCTTGTCAATATCAATTTTAGTTTTAAAACCAATTAAGCTAAACCCCGAGTATTTTCTATTCCGGGCAATTTTTATTAAGTAATTTTAAAATTCTAATTAATTTTTTGTTTAATAAAATGTTATTAAAACTCTGAACGTCTGTCGATTTGTTACTTAGACGTGTCCGTTGTTTACTCACAAAATTTTCCGAAGTAGAATATAATAATGTTTTTGTTCTTTTATTTGTGGCTTCTAGGGCTAAAAAGTCTTTTTTTTTTTAAATCGGATTAGAGGAAGTTATTTTTCCAAGAAGTGACACTGATATTAAATTAATATATACACTGGTATGAAAATCTGCAATAATATATACATTAGACAAAAAATTACAGAAAACCTTTCTGGGAACCATAGCAGACTGATAAGATTCCAAATGCTATAGAACCGATATGATTCCAAGCATCAAAACGCGTGAAACTATCTTTGATATTTGGCTATATTTGTCATTTTCCATTTATATAGTGAAAACCGACTTTTTCTACTAAAAAACCGTTTTCGAATTCCATAATATTCGTCGACAAACCCTAATACCATAGTCTTATAGATCATACTAAAATATTACGGCCGTACGACAAATCGTTTAATTTAAAAAAAATTAAAAATATAATATGGGCTTATATACCTTAGTATATAAGTTTTACAATTAGTTTAATTTTAAAAATTCATCAAAATTTGAGAAAATGAGTAGTTTTTTAATGTTTGTTAAAATTAAAATTAGACGATTAGACAACTTGATATAACGATAGAGTACTTGGTCTTAATGAACATACTGAATCATTTAAGTCCTACAGAAACTGGTTCAGTTATAATAATTGGTTTTTGTAAATTTGTTTTTAGAAAATACTCCGAGTTAACGTGTTCGTTCGTTTTCAAATATGTATAATGAATCCACTCGGAATACTTTTAATCACTCATAAATTAATTTGTTTTTTATTGACAAAGTCGATTATTTACTCATATCGGGAAGTTCATATAACTTGCCTCAAGGCAAAATACTAATACCAACTAGTTAATCCAAGAAATTAATCATATATATATATATATATATATATATATATATATATATATATATATATATATTGAGCAAGAGCATGGAGAATGGTAATATTAATAAATAATAGAACATGTATAATATTAAAAATTAAATGTTTATTCTATGTATTGATCACTTGAATATTTTTATACGCAGGAAACTACTGAAAGAGTTCAAGGAATTTTGAGGCAAGCTCAGCAAAATAGCTTAATCAATCTGAAAGCTGATATCAAATTGCATCAGCCTATTACAAACAGTACGATTTCTAGTGTAACTCCGGCATCTATGGTTTCCATGAAACAACATGAAGAAATTAGTGGCCAAAATACAAGTCAAATATATACACCTAATGATGAAATGACAATAACAGTTCCGAACATGAAGGAAAGTAATACACCCAAATCAATTTTAAAACAAAACATGAGAATAGAAAACATGAATGTAACTTCTTCACCTAGTAAGCAAAACAAGAATACTCATTTCTCTGAGTCAATCAGTTCCCAAAGTTTATCATTTGACATAACTCCTAATGCCAACTCAACTGTGAATTCAAATATGTCAAAATTGACAAAAAATTTTGCAAACATGAGTTTCAATAAAAGCACTGATGGTATTGATAATGGAAGCAATCAGTACAATGCTGCTGCTAGTGAGCACAGTACACAGCAGGATTATTCTTATTACAAAAAGGAACAAAGCATTGAATTTCCATTAAGTCCTCCACCACCTCCAGAGAGAAATAGCAGCTTTCAGGTCAGCATTATATGTATTAACTACCCGTAGGTTAAGTTATCGTAATCGTCTAAAAATCGAAATTGAAAATTATTGCATATATTTGTGTTTTGAAGGTTTCTGAGCATTTTGGCATACCTCAGAAAAAATGTATGTGTGTTTCAAATAATTAATTTTAACTTTGCAAATCACTTTATATAATTCTTAGAAATATGAGAAAAGTTCCTTCATTCTAACTCCGCTTTATATAAACGTCGTCGTTCAATTTAAAACTCTTATATTTCGTCGTCATTCAAATATGAATAATAAAAATTACTGTATATTTAATAATCTATTTGAAATGAGTGTGTCCACATTTTCTCAAACAAAAAAAAAAAACTAGTGATGCGTGATGTCGTTCATTAAGGCAAATTTCTGGAACTTCCCATATCGTAATGAAAGATTAATCGAAGAATATTTAATGCTTCTTATAAATAGTGATCTTATAAATTATATATAAATTAAATAAACAAAATTAGAACAAAGTTAGAACAAAGAAACATATCTCATTAAACTTAAAATTATTTATTTTGAGTATATAAGTATGGGAGCTTAAGAATTTTTGCTAAAATTAAAATTAAAATCCGAATCATTTTTGTTATTAAAAAAAAGAAATCGGAAATGAAAACTGAAAATTGAGACAAAATAGGCTTTCCCAAAAACTAATCATTTCTTTACAAGCAAAATTTAATATTTTTTTACACTTTTAGCTCCTTATTAACTTCCCGAAGGAGAAGTTTATGTTTTCATAAAAAAATCCGATTCGCTAATTTTATGTTTATTCGACGTTTCAAGCCATTCTGAATCGAATGAGACCAAATTTGGAAAAAATATGTGTATGTGTGTGCGTGCATGTGTACGGATTTTTTGTCGTAAATCGATTTAAAAGCCATTCGATGTATCTCGATGAGGACTATTGTTCATCAGTTTTGTGCGACGATCGGCCAAGCCGTTTCTTTATAAATCGCAGAAAAGTGAAAAATTTTTCGTCTACTTTTTAGCCCGCAATTCTGAATCGATTTTGAAAATTCTAAAACCGTTCGAAAGATATTGGTTGGGAATAGTGCTGATTAGTTTTTGGTAGAGATCGGCCGGGCCGTTTTCTTGTAATAAAGTTAAAAAAAAAATTCGACGATTTTTATGTATATTTTTTTGACGGTAGATACCATAGTCTCGTAGATCATACTAAAATATTACGGCCCTACGACAACCGTTTAATTTTGAAAATTTTTCAAAGTTTTCAAAAATTAATATCGTTTTTTTGGTATTTGTCAAAATTAGACCTTTGATCGACGTTTTCTCAAAAACGCCTGAACCGATTTCAGAAATTTAAAAGCCATTTGATGTATCTCAATGAGGACTATCGTGTGTCAGTTTTGTGAGACGATCTGCCGAGCCGTTTCTTTGTAATTTGAAAAAAAGTGTTAAACTTTTCGTCCACAATTAAGCTTCCGAACCGATCTTAAAAAATCAAAAACTATTCTAAAGATATTATTTAGGAGTGATACTGATCAGTTTTAGGTAAAAATCTACCGAGCCGTTTTCTTGTAATTAACAGTTGAAAAAAAGTTTAAGCCGATTTTTATGGAACTTTTTTGGCGATATATATCATGGTTTTATAGAACTTACTGAAATATTACGGCCCTACGAAAAGTAGTTTAATTTTAAAAATTCATCAAAGTTTGAGAAAATACATAGTTTTTTTGACGTTTGTTAAAATTAAAATTAGACGATTTACTTGGTATAGCGCTAGAGTACTTAGTCACAATGCACATACTAAACCATTAAAGTCCTACGGAAACTGGTTCAATTATAAAAATTGATTTTTGAAAATTTTCTTTTTCAAAATTTTTAATTGATTTTTGAAAATTGATTTTTGAAATATTTGATTTTTGAAAATACTCGAGTTAACGTGTTCGTTCGTTTTCAATGATGTGTAATAAATCCACTCGGAATATTTTTAATTACACATAAATTAATTTATTTTTTATTGATTAAGTCGATTATTTACACATTTTTTTTATTATAATTTTATTTTCATTGTGCAATCTATAAAAATAATTATATTTAGCAGAGAATGCTGACAAGTTGTTCACAATTGGTTGTTTACAAATTAGTATATACGCCTAGTGGCGTATCTACTATAGTTAATATAAAAAAAAAACTAAAGACAAATATGGAGAAAAAAATATATAAAAATAAACTAAATTAGATCTCGTGGTATTTTCCTTTTGAGCCTGGTCGGCTGACCTTCCTGGTATAAGTTGCATGCTAGATTATTTACACATATCGGGAAGTTTATGTGACTTGCCTCAAGGCAAAATACCAATACCAACTAGTTTCTAAAACAGCTGGGCCTATCTTTGACCAAAACTAATCACCAAATCCTTTCAATATTACTATTTGAATGTTTTTTGAATCATTCAATTTGGATGTTCTCAAAAACTTAATTGCTATTCTCTGCACTCTTTGCTTCATATTTCGGAAACGGCTGTACCATCCTTAAATAAAAACTAATCAGCACTAATCTCCATAAGTAGGAATCAAATACTTTTTGAATCATTCAAATTACTTGAGTGGTGCACCTGAAAACGTCGACAAAAATTTGTATACACACACATTCATTTTTTCTGCGGTATGCCAAAATGGTTAGAAACCTTTGAAACCCATCGGGAAGTTAGTAGGAAAAAAAAGTTCAATTTTAATTTCCGTCTATCAAATCCGTCTAATTATCGCCTTAATGTAATTTTCAATTAAAGAACAAAATTACATTTTGCATGTGTGTTCTTTAGCAAACCAGAACCAATTATGAAAATTGATTGACTAATTAGAAGATTATGAAAATTGAATTGTATTGGCCAAATTATTGATTGATTCTTCATAATTAATTAACCAATAAAATTCAAAAATATTTAGTTCATCTGAACAAGTTTAAAACATTCAAGCTTTGCACTAAAAATTCTAATTTATTCCAAGGATTAGCTATTTTCAAAAGAAAAATACATTGTGTTTTTTATAATTTTTGCGACGAGTTTGTTAAATTTAATAATAGCTCGTAATAAATCTGTGTTTTCATTCGTTTTTTTTCCTGATATTATCGCAATCAAATTATGATTTACAATTTCTTAGCCCTAACAAATTTAAAACTTTACAAATTTTGAATGTACTCTTAAGTTCAAAAGTGAAAACAATTTGGACTCCGCCGCCACCCCCCCGGGGGGAATGACTCCCCTTCCCAGTGGTGTAATTTTATTTTTTCAAATTAACATCTGATGGCGATAGAAGAACTAATTATAAGAAAGAAATGTCTTATAGAGTTTTTTTTTTAAAAAAAAAAAAACAAATACTTTTCAAGTTACTGGCTACTAAAAATTGATATTTTTGGCGCTTTTTTCATTTTTTTTGCAAATATCTCCAAAAATATACATTTTAACGAAAAACATGTAATAAACAAACCTATGTCAATTGAAATTTTGGTGTTTTAAGGTGCGTCCACACCTATCGAACGAGCACGAACAAAAATAACTACAATTAAACTGTGAACTTATCCGAAAGTCAGAAATTGATAATATATAATGCATGTTGAATTTTATATAAAAAAAATGCTAACTGTTAGGACATGAAAATTAATTCGTAACGCTTGTGCAATTATTATATCATTCAAACAAGACTGGTTGAGGGAATAAATATAATTTTAAATAATTCACATTTTCTTGTGAGTTATGCTGTTACTTATCTCAATAAGTTCGTAGAATAAATAAGAAAACCCCTTTTTGCAAAATTCTTTTTTTTTATTTAATATAGTTTTCTTCGAAGACAATATACTGCATAAAGCAAAGTTCGAACTTTTCGAAACCATTTTTGTAGTACGATTTGTACTTGGCCACAAAATTCAGCTATTATCTCATCATTTAGCAAAAATTCCTTCACAGCGGGCATACTTATGAGATCTGAGAATAGGATATGATCGCTAGAGAACAGATCTAGAGAATATAGGGAGTAGAGAAGCAATTCGGAGCTCAATTCATGCTTTTTTACTACTGTTTTTACGGTTTTGTGACTTGGTGCGTTATCCTGATGAAGCAGCACTGTTTTCTTTTTCAAATGGGCCCGTTTTTCCGATTTTGATCTTCAAATGTTCCAATAACGTTATACAATAGGCACTGTTGATCGTCTGGCCTTTCTGAAGATAGTGGATGAAGTTGATTTCTTGCGAATCCCAAAAAACTGACGCCAAACCTTGCCAGCTGATTGTTGGCATTTTTTCTCGTCTTTGTATCTAGTCCACTCGGCTGACGGTTCGACTCCGTAGTCTAGTGGTGAGCCAGGTCATAATCATGGTGACATATTGATGCATAAACTCAGTTTTGTTTTGACTAAACAGCTCCAAATACTCTTACGAATCATCAACTCGTTATGCTTTTGGTCAAACGTGAGATTGCGCGGCACCCATTTATCACATGTAACATAATAAAATAATGATTTTTAGATGAAATGTGGATTCATTAGTGATCTAAAACTGGCCATTTTTGTAGGGCACAATTATTTTAAAGATATAGTAATTAAAATAAAACCTAAAGTAGAAAGTTTCCAAAAAACTTTTACTTTTCGGTTTTCTAAAACGTTTCGGTGGACTTTTTTTATTTTCCTCAATTGGCCTTCCAGAGCATTCGACATCGTCAGTGTCTGTATAGCTACGATTAAAATTAGCAAACCACTTCTTCACAATTTGCCTCGATTTGGCAGAGTCCATATAACACTTATCAAGCGATACTTGATAGTATTTTGACCCATCAAAGAGATATAACACATAAATTTTTTTTGAATTCATAGCTTTGAAAAACTCAAAAGTAGCATCACTTGAACCTCGGTAAATTGTAAACTAATCATCGGATAGTCATGAAATTTTGACATATATCTTCTTAAAGTTGTTGCTTTCTACAAAACATATGGATGATTACATTATATAGCTGCATTATCTGCGTGTTATCCTACCGGCTTATTGAGTGACGTAATATATGTATTTCTATAAATCCATTATTTGAAATTACAGGTGATGAATCAACAAACAGCATTGCGAAATAGCATAAACAGCCCCTTGGTATCCAGTTCCATGGACCTGTTTAATCGTGCATCAGATAATGCTTCACAAAGTGCAACAAATGCTGCTCAGACAATTACTTCACAACAATCGGCACGTGATAGACGGGTTTCATTCAATGAAAATGAAGCAGCATCGTCCGCAGTTATGCCAAGCCCTCCTCAGGATTTAGATATTATCCGCGAGGATCCAGATGTGAGTTGCAATTTATAGATCTTTGAAATGTGATAAAGTATCAATAACAGGAATTATTATTCAAACTAATATTAAACATACTTTAATAATGTAAATAGTAGTTAAATCTATCATAGAGAAAAAATAGATTTTTGGACCCCCTTCCCCTTTGGTGATACATGATGATATTCAAAATTACCTCCCCTCCCCCACCAAACATTACGTGTATTTTTAGTTACGTGATAAAACTATGAAATCTTTTATTTTTTTGAAAATGTTTGAATTTTTTTAAAAAATCAGTTAAAAAATAAATACATGTGATATCTTACTATACCAGACAACACAAGACATCCTGGAAAATGTCCACAGGATATCCACGCGCGGACATTCATTGTCCCTGCGATAGCCTTACGGATATCCTGCTTATCCTGACTATATCCGAAACATGTTAATATGTCGCAGCTACGGGACGTTCTGTAGGATATCCCGCGCGGAACATTCCGGACATAAACCGGACATGAATAGGATTTAATTATGGAATTGTTTTTTACTTTTTAGATGAAAAATAAATTTGGATTACAAATAAAATAAAAGAACACAATTTCACAAAGTAAACTTTTATTGCAAAATAACAAAATCCTGAGATAATTTTATAACAAAATTTAATATATACAACTTTAATTCAAAATAACTTATTTTACAATATTAAAAATATAATTACTTCGGCATTCAATCCTAGTTTATGGTTGATTTTCTCTCCTGAAATAGAAAACAAATGAATAAATGCATATATATGTATATATGTATATATATATATATATATATATATATATAAGTTCTTTAAGAGTGATACATCAATCAAAATAGACAGATTTATAAAATACTCTCTAATTCCAAATATATCAACACAATTTGATGTCATTACGAGTGAATAATAAACTTGGTTTTTTACATCTAAAAATGTGTACACAGCACAAATTTTGCACTAATATTGATACAACTAACCAGTCAATAATCATGATTTTTTTGTAAATAGGAAAAACATATAGTACACATCTCACCAAAATACCTTGTATAATATTTATTGGCACGTCGCAGCCAGCTTTTTGCAGCCTCTGAAACAGCAATTCCTGGAATTAATTATATATTAGTTTTATTCATAATTTACAACACATCATAAGTATAAGATATATAAATTACCTGTGATGACATCGCAAGGCATACTAGATAACAAAATTTATTTTTGCCCTTTCCTCGTCCCTAGCAAAATTCTTTGGCCAAACCATCATCAAAAATGGATTTTCATAGCTGGACTCTGATGGCTAAATACAGAATCTAAAGAGAAAGTTTGTTTAGTATATGATAAAGTTAACAAATAAAAATAAATCTATATAAACTTTTGATTACCAATTGTGTTTTGATATCTTTGCTCAGAAGATTAGCCTCCACAAGTTGAAGCTCCTCCAACAAACATAATAGAAAGCATTTAAAAAATATTTAATTTAACTTTTGAGTATGGTTCGAGTCAAACCTCAAAACCAACTCTTTCAATGCTCTTCTTTGTCAATCTTCTTTCAAACACGGCTGCAATATTTGTAACACACCCGCACATATAATTATATAGACCACATAAAATTTCCACAATTATTACTCAATTTTAGAGTATTTTGATAGATAATATTAATTATTTATAACACACGCTCATATAATTATATAGAACACATAAAATTTCCACTATTATTACTCAATTTTAGAGTATTTTGATCGATAATATTAATTATTTATAACACACGCTCATATAATTATATAGAACAAATAAAATTTTCACTATTATTACTCAATTACTCAAAAACTATGATAATTCGACATATAGCGTCTGTTTGATGACGCTAACCTTAAAGGGCGCAAAACCGACGCGACGAAAGAGAAAGGGACAAACATATACGTTTAGAGGTCTCAAGCCGTGCGCGTATGAGAGGGACATGTTCGTGAATCGTGCGTTATACCTGCTCGAGTCCTTTGGTTTTGAGACGTCCCGTTGCATATTCATAGGATATTCATAGGATATCGCGATATTAGGAGATTGTGAGGACAAGAGGGACATTCCCTGGCATGTCTTGTGCTGTCTGGGACCCCTCCCTCCCCCACGTGATATTTCGTGATTTTTTGTTGAACCCCCCTCACCCTAAAAACCTCACGTGATTAATGGACGCTCCCTTATAATATTATCGAAGGGGGGCGTTTATTAATGACGTGATCGTTTTTTACGGATTTTTAACTCCTCCCCTTGCTGATACGTCGTGATATTTTAAATTATTTCCTCTCCCCCACCAAATATCACATGTATTTTTAGTTACGTAAAATTTTTCGAACGAATTTACGTAAATCGTATTATTAATTTTTTTTTTTTTTTGAAAATTATGGAAAAGAATAAATACACCAGAAATTTTACTAAAACCCTTTCTTCCCACGTGATATTTCGTGATTTTTTATCAACGTGATTAATGGACGGAGGAAGTTTATAGTTACCTTCTACTGAATTTGTCAGCTCTACTATATATCCAAAAATCAAATGGCAACCAAATTAACAATAGCCTGCACTACAATTTCAATTACGATGAATATTGTGGAAAGTCATTTTGTCTGATATGATTATCTTTTACGTAATAAAATTATGAGTTAATATCATAAAATAATGTTTCATAAATTTCATTAAATTGTTTTGTTTGGGAATTTTAATGAAGCATGAGGTGCTCTAACAAATAGTAACTTATGGTTTGTTGTAAAAATCTTAAATGTTTTTAGGATTTGATAAATTATTTGAAAGTTAATGTTACTTTTAGTAAATCTTCACTACAAGTTAGATTTTGATTTTTTTTAGAAATTCATTATTGAAGCAGAAGGCATGCTACAAGGGCCGCAAACTCCTGAAGCAACTATGGCTATAACACCTGGCGTAATAGGAGCACAGGAAGTTTATAGGTTAGTTTAACATATTTGTGTCATAGATTTGCCTACATATTGCATGAAGTACCGTTCTTACCGTTATAAGTTCATAAATATATATAAAGTTATCTTTACAATTAATTCAACCTATAAAAAAAGGCTTTTTGTTTAGAATAAAGAATTAATCAAGAATCAACATTTATTATATGTGCCCATAATTGTAAATATTATTTATATAGCAAATAATTATATTCTTACAGAGATCCAAGACAAAAAAGACTTCTGGAACAACAAAGGCAAGCCCAAATAAATAATACACCCATTCCTGAGAAATTAAGTTTTAAAGAAAAAATGAAGATGTTTGCACTGGAATCAGGAGAAAACCAAACACCACGTGATAAATTGAAAATTTCTCGAGCGCAAAGAGATATAGACGCCGTACATTGAGTATGCAGATTATTTTTTTATGTAAAGCTAAATCAAAATTGAGTGTCATAAAGAACATATATGTTTTATGTATATTATTTTGAGATATATAGATAAATTATATTATTATTGTTAAAACTAATCTCAATAACTATTGAACAGTATTTACATTTATGTTTTATATTTTTTAAACATTGACAGAAATGAAGCAAGCAATATTTTAAATGTAATATAATAAAATAATGATTTTTACATGAAATGTGGATTCATTAGTGATCTACAACTGACCAATTCTATGGGACACAATTATTTTAAAGATGTAGTAATTAAAATAAAACCTAAAGTAGAAAACTTTCCAAAAATACTTTTAGCTAATTCCAATAATGTGCACTTAAATCAACTGAGCAATGTTAGAGAATATAGCAAATTATAAAACTAATAAATTATATTTAGATAAAAATACTTATTATAATATTCAGTATAATACAAATATATCTGAACATGTAATAAATTTATATATTTTACCATACATGCAAATGAAACACTAAAATAGGTTTGAAAACATTTATATATTTACAGCATAGAGCTTATATAAGTGTGATATAAAAGAATTATCAATGCCTTATCCCGAATAACATTCCCTCCAAAAAATTGAAACAAATTTGTGTAATATTAATTAATATGTATACTTAAACTTCAATTTTTATTTACGTAATGATATTGGACTTATATGATGTATTTTTATTCTCAGACCAAATTTCTATAGAACTATATTAAGTAATTGTAACTTATATACAAGAACAAAAAAATAATTAACAATTGACTAACAAGAAATAAATGTTATGTTTAAGATTAAAGAAATATTTTAGCTAAAATATATATTGATGCACATATTTATGTATATGTTATTGTATATCAAATTTGCAATTTGAATATATCATAATAAATTTTTATAGACTAATTTTTATTTTGCATGTTCCTTTACTTGTTTGCATATAACAAATCAAGGAATTTGTTTGCATATTGTATATTGGATTTTGAATTTTGTTGATTGTTGGATTATTTATCAGAGTTGATGCTGATATTCATGAGCTGATATGGTTTACTTAACTCTTTGGGGACGGAACTAAACCGTATGGTGCGGATGAACTGCTTCTGCGATAGTCATTTAAAATTGTCAATGCATATTTCTCGCATTCTAACTTAAATTGTAGCACTCCAACTCAAATTCTGGACATGTATAAATAAAATGTTCATTTGCTCATTAACTATTCAGTTTAGGGTACTAACATTGAGTTTCTCGGCCATCGACGTGCATTTAGGAGAGACACATATATGGGTTATTCTTTTACAAATCGTACAGATTTTGGTAAAAAAAATGACATTTCAAAATTGGGTGAAATTTTTTTTATAGATATTATAGATAAAATCATTTGACACGTATTTCAGGATTTTGCAAAAAAAATTGTCGTTGATATTTGCGATTGAAATATTGCTGATTTTCCCAGTAAACCACAGAAGTTAAATCCACGTAACTCATTTTGTAACTTTCGTTTCGAAACTGATGTTAAGTAAAAAAAACCGATGCTGCTACGTATAGTTGTGAGCTTTAACCACCGTCGACGCGTTTAAACGTTTATAATACTGCTTTGTTCGCATCTGTCGGTACGTGGCGTGGTACGTTGCACGGTCACATACATTTGCTTTTGAACATAGCCGTGAAGTGTTTTATGAACGAAATGTCAAATTAAATATAGGTTAACTCGGTCAGTGCATCGTGGACGCATAATTGAGTATTTTATCGTGTATGCTTGAAATGCAAGATATTTCCTTTATTGAAGCGTTATTTATTAATTGCTTTTATATTTAGTGCGAAATCAGTTGTAGAAATTAGTTAAACAGTCAGCTGGAAAAGTATTTAATATGAAACCGGCAAACAAGGTGAGTCTAATTGTACTGAAATATATTATAATTTATAAATTATTATAATAATGTTTAGTCATTTGCAGTATATAGGCCGCCTTCAATGCAAAGTCTGTTCATGTATTGTGATAATTGATTTATCATGTAATAATTGAAATTTCTAACACACCAGTCAGAAACATAACCTCAATTCAGTGATATATGAATAAAGAGAAGTAAGTTATATAGTTTTATACATATTCATCTTTTATAGTTCCATTAGTATCAGAACTATTTAGCTAAGCACAAACTGATATAAGTTGGTTTTCAATTGTAGAGAAAATTACAGTGCTGATAACCCCTACGAAAATGGATTTCAAACTAGGGAAATTTTCTCCAATAGAGAAGATAAATACAAAGTTAGATAATATATTAGAAATTATTAATCCTTTGTCACCAAAAAAAAACAAGCAAGGCTTGAAAACATGCAAGAAGAAAAATAAGAACGCATATCGATTAAGTGTTGAAAAGAAAATGAATTGTAGAGTATTTCTTAAGTGATGATATTGTATTACAGAATAGGTATATTAATGTTTTACACAAAGAGAATTTTAACTAATATCATTTAGTACTAATTTGTAATGTTTTACTTTTAGGAAATTCACATATTTAATACGAAACCAACAAAAGGTGAGTATAATTGCACTGTTTTTTTTTTTTTAATTTACAAATTATTATATTAATGACTAATTAGTTATTTTCAGTATACAGGTCATGTGCAATGCAAATTCTGTTTATGTATTGTGATAATTGATTTATCACATAATTATTGAAATTTCTGACAGACCAGTCAAAAATCACATAACCTCAATTCAGTGATATGATATGAATATTATAGGTAGATAAGTGTAATATATGGTATCATACATATTCTTTATAATTTCATTAGTATAAGAACTATTCAGTTAAGCAAAAACTGATATAAATTGCTTTTCAATTGTAGAGAAAGGGTGCTCATAACCCCTATGGGTTATGTCAAAATGCAATTCAAACTAGAGAAATTTACTCTAATAAAGAAGATAAATTGTCACCAAAGAAACAAGCAAGACTTATATGCAAGAAGGAAAACAAAGAATGCACTGGATGTCACACATTATATGGATTAAGTGTTGAAGAGAACATGAATTGTTGAGTATTTCGAGTCTGATGATCTTGCATTACAGAATTGGTATATTAAGGTTCTATATGAAGAGAATTTTAACTAATATGATTTAGTACTAATTTGTAATGTTTTACTTTTAGGAAATCTTGAAAATTAATAGGATAAAATCAATGCAAGAAAATTATTGAGTGTGTGTTCATGGAATAATTATCTCTGTCATATGATCGTAGGAACTACATAGTCATTAACTTCAAATAATGAGTATGTTTAGAGGTTCACAAATGACGAATTTGTTCACAATGTTTTCAATTCAAAATTTGTTTACAATGTTTCTAAGATGTTTGGTTCTATTTTAGATACATTAACAGATGCAAGTGAGTTGAACATATTTAATGCAAGACTTAACTTTGCCAAGTCTGATTTAACTGAAGTTGCCAAGAGAGTTAAACATAATACATATTATGAATAAATAAATAATTATTTCTATAGGCTAACATTTTATGGACTATCAAATTTTAGTTTTCTAATGTTGCAACTATGTAATATGTAAATTTTGTATATTGTAAATGATATTATTTAATAAAATTACTAAATATCCGAAATTGATTCTATATTTGCAGGAAATTTAATTAAATAATTATGTAACATAAAAGACACCTACACGCTTTTTTATTCAATTTAGATACGTAGCAAAAATGCAACCGCGGTGTATTAGTGTGCAACGAAACAGCCGTTACGTTCTTGCCCGCGAAATAGATACTTCTGTGTGCCTCCCAGGTTACGTACCTGGTTCGTGCGGACGTGCCAGCGTTACGTAACAGTCATGGCTTTGTTACGTTTTGTGGTTTACTGGGTTCTTAATTTTTGTGAACTTGCTAATTATGTTAATTATCTCCTGTTGCATTGATCAGATCAGTATTGTTTTTCTTTAATTATACTCATAATGAACTCAACTTTGAAGTAATTTAAAAAAAAAGTTTGCAATTATTTTAACAATAATAACAATTGATTGTTTACATTGGATTCACATACGCTTGCCCAGACTTAAATCGATTGAGAAAAATAAAAAGAGTGCGCGTAAGGATCACACGCGATTGAAGTAAAACTTATTTGCTACTGTACAAAGTAGCAATATTAAGTTAAGTAAAAATAAATACATCATATAACAATTTTGAATAATGTTTATTACTAATATGGTAACACTTGTGATGCACACATTTAATAGTGTCAACATTATACACATTTATATAAGGTAAACGTACACTATTCCGGGATAGTACATTATTACGGGAGTTTTTCATTTTGATCGCAAAATAAGAAAACGGTCAATAAATAATAATTTTATTCAACAGCACATCAATTATAATTTGAATCCTAATAAAATAGTACGATTTTCGAATTCAAATATTAGTTTTTAAGCCGTAAAAAGCTTTTGAAAGCATCGGTCGTAACCCGATCGCCATTTCGTACTGGCTTGTTAGCGAGTTAGGTTTTTATTTGATTCCGATAAGCTTAATCGATTCAAATGTGTGAAATTTTTGATCAGTAATAATAAGAGATTTGTTTTATAGTTAAATCGAGCATATATTTGTCAAGAAATTATCAATTTCATGACTCCCGTATTTAGGTTCACACAACTGAACCAGTGAACCTAATTCCGTGAGTATCCCGCAATTACGAGAAGCAGACTTGAAATAGTTTCATCTTTTATTTTCAACTGTGCTTAAATTCGGCGGTGTTTCTGGTGTTATTAAGTTTGTTAATGACTACAGAATACTGTAACGTAATTACGGTATATGTTTTTTTTAATTTTTAACCTTAATAATTGAGTTTGAAATGACTACTCTTCAGTAAGAAAGTACATGATTTTTTTCATTTATTTGCATTGTTCCAATATACCTAGAATATTGTAGTAATGAGAGTATCATTTATTTCTACCTTTTCATCTATGATAAATTATTTCTATTACATAAATTGAATAAAAATACAGGTATACCCCGTATAGCGCACGGTACTTATAGGGCGCGGATTTACTAGGGCGCTGGTATGTATGTATGTATGCAGAGATCTAGGGACATTCCTGTTAACACGATAGTTTTAATCCGATTAAGCTTTTGGAATATAACCATTATATAACCTGCATATTATTAAAACAAACATACATCGTAAGTTATTAAATTAATATAAATTGCAATTACTCGAAAATAAGATGCCGAGGCTACTCTTAAATGCAGTAACTTTCTAATAGTCTAATACAATTTATCAAATATTATTAAAATTATATTCAAGATCAGTAAATTTATTTGGGTATGATTTCAAATCGGACTTTTAGTTTTTCAAAGAACGATGGCTCCAATTAAATATTCACCCAAAACCCCGAAAAAAGGCTTTAAAAGAAATTTGCCATATTATATTAAATGTATTTTAAAGCTTCTAAAACATACAAAATTCCCAATCAAACCTAATTTGAGTTATTGTTAACTTGAAAGTCTTTAAAGATTATTGTAAAGTTTTTAAAGATTTATGTTTGTTGACAGAATTGTAACTTTTATTACAAGTTTAATTTTTTTACTTTGAGTTTAAATTTTATATTTATTTTAAGTTTATATTTTTGTTTAATTGCCGTTAAAAATTATTCCTTTATTGTTTCATTTATTTGATTTACCGAAACAGTATTGATAATGATAATTATACTGCTATTACTATAGTAAAACTTCTAAAATAAAAATAAAATAAAAGCTGGTATTATTATATATAATAATACCAGCTTTTATTTTATTTTTATTTTAGAAGTTTTTTAACTTCTTATAATTTTATGACTTTTATAAAACTAAGTAAATGTTTAAAATCATATCAAAGTATTATTTCATAATTAACCGCACTTTTTATAACCCTTTTTTATAACTATATTTATCAGAAATACGATCAAAAATGTAAGCATCGTGCGCTATCACGGAATAACGTACAACGACTCCCGGCATTATATTTACGAGCCGAATTTTATCACGGAATTAGGGACAAACGCGTGGTTCAGCAAAATGCCGATTATTTCTATAAATGACGTTCTATGGCGAAAAATCTTGTTTTATAATAATCTTAAAAGTCTAATTAATAAAATATAACAGAATAAGTTCGTCCACTTTCCTATTTTCTCTAAAATTCGTCTTTAAATTCAAACGTTCCTTAACATCCCGTAATATGGTACGTTTACCTTAATGACTAGCAAACCCGACGAACTCCGTTTCGCCAGATGGTTTCGTGAGAAAAATGAAGAAATTTTTGGTTTGTTTTATATTTGAGAAGGAAATTTGATTTTATTACACAACAGCAATGAATTTATTTCGATTACAAAAATGAAGTGTTTTTTAGTTGAACTTCTCTAAGTAAATGAAAGTGAATCTGCAAATTATCCATTTCATTGAAGTGCTCTTTGGTAAACCACATTTTTTGTTTTTTTGTCTGACGTTAACACAAACAAAGCGGATTGTTTTCCAACTCGTGAACAGGCAACATATAACTGCCCATGTGAAAAACAATGATTTTCTAAATTTATTACGCAAACACTAAGCGATTGGCCTTGCGACTTGTTAATTGTCATTGCAAACGCAAGGCGAACTGGAAATTGCAATCGTTTGAAGTCAAACGGAAGACCAGTCGGAATCATTGGTATTCGAGGAATATGTACATTTTCATCTGCGTACTTTCCGTTAATAATGGTTGCCTCAATTAAATTTGGCATAAGTGTTTTCACCGAAAGTCGAGTACCGTTGCAAAGTTGCGGTGGATTCAAATTACGCAATGTTATAATAATTGTAGCAACTCTGAGTTACAAGTTATGTGGTGGAAATCCTGGTAACTCGACATTTCAAAAACTCCGTTGGATAATTTACTACATAATCGGGATTTGCTATGGAATTAATGGATTTGTATGTCACCAAATCGCCAGCAATTTTTGATTGAGTGGTGAAATTCAGTGCGTGTACATCATTATTCTTTGCGGCAAGAATAGCTCGTTGACTTAACCAAGCATAATTATGATAATTCTCACTAATGTTTGGGAAAACATTTTCAATAAGAGATAATTGAGAGTCTACAAATCGGCAAAAGTTGTTGGTAAGAGTAATTAATCCAGATGTCGCATCAACTGAGACTTTTCCATTTCCAACAGCTAACAATTGTTTGGAAAATTGTGCAGCACTTTGATCTTTTTGAAGTTGAACTCCCATATTAGTGGTTAGCGCTAATGTTTTTACATTATTCCATAAAGGTGATGCTTTCAGGCAAGCATTCAATTCATCTGTAGGCGTTCCACGGAAAATTACTGGCAACATCTGCCTGAAATCGCCTGCCAACAGTATCATCAAGGCGCCAAAGATGTTGTTATTTCGCCGAAGATCCTTCAGCGTGAAGTTAAGTGCTTCAAGTGATTTCTTATGTACCATTGTGCACTCATCCTAAACAATTGCCTTGCATTGCATCAATAATTTTCCCATTGCACTGGATCGGGAAATATTGCATGTTGGAGTATCAATTGCGTTTAAATTGAGTGGCAACTTAAGCGCAAAATGTGTAGTACGACCTCCATCTAGAAGATGCATTTCCAGATGATGCTAACGCCAAAGCTATGTTACATCTTGATCGAATAGTGGCCAAAACCAATGATATGACAAATGTTTTCCCTGTTCCTCCAGGTTCGTCCAGGAAGAATAGACCACCAGTATTATTGACCACCGCTTGCAATAATGTTTCGTATACTTGTTTTTGCTGTTCATTCAGCAACGGCACATTATTTCGAACAAATTCCTGCAATGTATCAACATTGTATTGCAGCTCTCGATTTAATTCTTGGTTGAATGCATCGTGCATCGATCGATTTGGCGCAATCATTCCTACTTCAATTAGTAGCTTGTTTGCAATAGTCAAGATTGATCCTCAATCAGAATTAATTCTTCATTGTAGATTTCATCGGTTATTTGGATGTCAGGATTATTAGTTTGAATGCGCAAGCGATGCAAGATATTTTCACATATGCCGTCTTTGTATTCGTTCCATAATTGCATTAGTTGTGAAGGAAAACATGTGGTGATTATAATTGCGAACAGCGTACGTATTTGGTACGCATTTGATGAAACAACTGAATCCGCAAGTATTAGATCCCAATTAGAATCGTTCTCCAGCAAACCCAATAGTTGACATGCTTCTCGATATGTTTGGCATCGGTGGCCATTCACAGTTTTCAAATGCTCAAATGATTTTGGTCCACGTACATTTACCAACAGCAGTCGCAAATAAAAACATTCATCATTTCTAGGATGAACAGTATATATGCGACCGAGTGCATCAGTGGAAAACACATGTGGACAATCTGGAATTGGGGTTCTTTGTTTGCGACGTTGGAAATTCTTTGTTGATTGATTCCAAGTGTAATACTTGGGCATATCAACGTACATCAGCGTCGCTGCGAATGCATCTGCTCCACACATTGCAAAGAAGCTAGTCGATTTTGTCGATGGTGGTCTCTCAGCTCGTTGTACCGCATTAGCCTCAGTGAAAAAAACTCTTTGGTCATTTTCCAAATGCACTGCTAAATGTGCAACTTCATGAATTTGAAATGACAATAATCGCCTCAGTGCTTCATTACTACTGACATATCTGCCAATGTGAAAGCTGCTAATTTCGTCATTTGAATTTTCCGATGCAATACCAAACACAGTCATGTCGCAGCTTTTTGAGACGTACTTGCGCAAATATTTGATTGATTCTCTCAATCTCTTGATTTTGAACTTTAACTTTAATAGTTAGATCATTATCTTCTTTTGAACGCCGACGATAAACTGGATATCCATCGTTCCCTGTGAATGTTTCAGCAACTAACGGTCGCGGATATCGTTTTGTGCACTTTCCATAAGCCATGCAAGGCAATAATGGATTTAATGCACCGCACGGTCCATGCACCATCTGTGTCGTCACAATGTCGTGTAGATGGGGATCAGTGACTGGATCAGAAATTTTAGCTGATATGATGTCATTTACTTTATTCGAATGTAATTTATTCAGCAACCAAATTAGGATATGAGCATGCGGTAGTCTACGCTTCTGCCATTCCACTGAGTACATATAACAACGTGTGCCACCAAAAACTCGATACTTAGTAAGCACATCCATCATAACCTTGAGTTTTTGCTGAAATAATGTGGCAATTATGTCATGGCGATCTTGCGGTTTTTGGCCCGTTTCTAACTCACGTTCAATTTCCGTCCACTTCGGATTGCATGTGAACGTAATAAATAAAACCGGAGTTCCATAATTTCGCACGTACGTCATAGCGTCTTGAGCGTATTCGTGCATGAAGCGTAGGCTTCCGATATAAGATGATGGGAGAATCGTGAGACGTCCAATATTCTGAACATCACCATCTGTATGAATAGCATCTCGCAAGTGTATATAGTCCTCAGATCGTAGATTTGCCTGATTGAATTAAATAAACGCTAAACATTCGGTCTCGACTTTGACATACATGTCGACAGCGAATTGCTGGAATAGCCGACCGCACTTCAGAATGACATTCTCCTCATGTGTACGAATCATCATACGATATGCATAGTAATTCATTGCGCTTAGATTTTTATTCGTTGATACGCCTGAAAATGCAAAATTAAATATATTGTTAATGGAGACCAATAATGGTCATCTCTTGGGGTACAATCCGCTCTTATGACAAATTTGTGCGTATCTGATGGCATTTGTTCCAATGCTGTTTTAAACATGTTAACCACAGCATTATTAGCGTGAAAAAATGCTTGCAACTGTTCAATAACTCGTCTCTTTAACTCTTCCTGCATATTGCACCGCATATTCAGATGATCCTCCATCAACGAAATTAAATATATTTGCAGAAATTAATGCTGTTTATCCGGCGTTGGCACCATTGAATCATGCAAATGATATATTTGTCTTTGTATCTGTAATTGCAAATAATCGTTAGTTGAAGAATACGGTGTAACTTCTGATCGTGTGATGGTGTACTGTATGGTGTGCAATTCATTGTGTTGATGTGAGTGATTAGTTATGTGCGTTGTAAATTTTACTTTGCAAGTCGGCATGAAGTCGCCTTCTTGAATGATATTAGCTCCAAAGGAATTCATGCGAAAGCAGTTATTGTATTGAAGGATGTGTTGAAGAAAATGGCTGGAATCGGAGTCACTTCCATCAAACAATGGTTTCAGTGGCTGTGGTGGTGCAAGTAATGGATCCAGTTTGACTTTTCCACTTGCGCAGCACAATCCACCCTTTTGAACTTTAACGCATTGCAATATCGGCATATAGTCGTCATTGGTCCAATATCAAATTTTTTATCATCACTGTAGTTCGCAGTGGGATCATATTGGAATGCCAAGCAATTGTATGATGCCAATGATCTTCGTGTACTCATGCGTTGTCTCACCGGGCATTTTGTCTTATTATATTTTGTGTGCCTTCGCTTAAGTTTTGTGACTACACTTGCTGCTGGATTGCGTGTATTGTGCGGCGGCCGATGTTCGCACGTCGTCCTCTAGGCATTTTAGACTATGGACAGACTGGTGAATTTAACCTCAAATGCACGATCCGCATAATTTACACAGTTTAACTTACCTCGTTAAAGACAAATACCTGTCTTAAAGATAAAAATTTGCTCAACACACGTAATCGATTTAATGGTTTCCAATTGAAATGTTAGGAAAAGAATAACTTATTTTACTTTTTTTTTCACAGTAAACACAATGCTGGTTTGTCACATAAAATTAACTGAGCAGAAAGAAAGAAAAGCCAAGAAATTTTCTTTGCAAAAAGAAAGAGATTCAACTGTTTTTCAACTGGTTAAACATGTGACATGAAATGTATATTATGTATACGCCGCACTCGAAATTGATAAATGAGTACAGGCGTATGAGTTCCCTAACGAATGCAGAGTGGATAGCGCGGCTAGCGCTCAAAAATATTTAATATCTTTGGATCTAACTGCGCCTCCAATATCATATAAAGAGATTTTGTAGTAGAGAGTAAAAGAAAAATTATGTTGTTTATTTCAATCGATTCGAGTTGGGGAAAAGGTATGTAAATCCTATGTTAACAATAGACTACTTTTATTGTTAAAAATAGCAAAAACAATTTTTTTCAATTAACTGAAAGTTGAATTCAAAACCCATACTGATCTGTTCACCAAAACTGTAGATATTAAGATTAATGCAGAGAAAGACAATCAAAATTGAGCAAATTATCCAAATTTCAATCGTAATTTTTTTTTTAATTTTTTAAAGCAAAATCCTGAGACAATTCTAAAATGTCAAGGTTAATTGGTGTTCGGTTTGTAAAAGAATGACCCATATATGAGTACTTTGGATAATTTGATCTTTTGCGCAAAACGCATATATGCGGCGATCGTTCTAGGGGTCCTATAAAGGGTTTATAAAATAGTTTGAATCTGTTCTAAAATTATAGATTTTCAATCATTTTTCAATTTAGATGAATTTTTAAAAATCAAGAATGTTTCAAATTAGAAATATTTGGAAAACTTAATTTTTTAATAATTGGGCGCGCGCTTTGTACTTCTGGTTGCCGTCGATGTCCACGCTTAAATAAAATACATTTTTAGATTTTTAGGTAAATTTTATTATGCGTGTCAAGCTTATGTCGTCTGCATATGTTGCTGTCAAAGATCATAGAAGAAGATAGATAAAAGAAGAGTATATGGGATAGAATAATGATACAATTACACTTTCTTGGGGCACTTCCGAATTGACTGAAAGTGATGTATGTATGGATTTTCACCTCTTATGTTAACGAAGAATGCTCCTATCTTACAGGTTGGACTTTATATTTAGGTGCATATCAAACAGTAATGCATTCTTGACTTTGTAATTTTGTGCTATACCTTATTAAAAGCTTGATATGATTAATATCGAGAAAACAGCTGAACAGTAGTTCTTATTTTGGTAGGCCTTGTTTATATTCTTATATCCCGACACCCTTATATCATTTCTCTCTATGGATTTCAATTTAGCAATTTTCCGCTGATCAGGATATGATTTAAGTCTTATTATACCGTTGAACAAAATAATTATGAAACGGTAGGCTTCATAGGAGAGTTTTTTTTAAGAAGGTTAATATTAACGTTGTCAAAGCCAGGTGCTTTTGCAGTTTTGCTCTTGCGTTTTGTTTGGTAATTTTCGGAACTTTGATTATAATGTTGTTCGACACAAAATTTGAGTCAACTTTTTTTTTTAAATCGATTATTCGGAGGAATTTGAAGAATTTGGCGTAAAAACTTCCTTGAAGTTTGTGCAAAAATATTGTGTCATTTCTAAGTCACTTCACTCAAGTGTTAGCCGATTTTCTAATTGGAGGTATACTGATGATCAGACGTTTTAAGTTTTTTGTGGTTTTCAGATTAATTTTGATAATGTATAATGTTTTCTTTTATTATTATATCATTATTATATTAGTTTCAGCGAGAACTGTTCCATCTGGGTGATTGATAATTGTTTAATTTGAAATAGTTTGAGTTAAGCCCGGTGCACATGATGTCAGTATTTTTTGTAACATATATTCTGTCAAGTTTTTATCGTAAGGTGAGCGTGTACAAAGAAACTATGTTATTGGAATGTAAACATAAATATTATATTAGTATTGAAGTGGGGAAAACCTTTGAGGAAATAATTGTTTGCTAATGTGTGTGTTAATTGATAGTTTGTGTCCTTACAACCTTACACTTAGCTTGGTGGTTTTCAGTACGTAAGATGCATTTAACATCCTTGTTGATTTGTCTCATATATTTCAATTAAAACCAAGTGGTAAGGGTTGACCGAACTTTTTTAATTTTTTGCGTCAATTTTTATTGTGTTAATGCTTTTTCAAAAAACACATAAAACACTGATTTTTCCCTTCTTACCACAAACCCAAATTGTGTAAAAATTATTATAGTAATTACATCATTTTTCATATCGATTTCTGTAAGTGAACGATTTTGTCTGAATTTTGATTGGAAATTTTTGACCCATGAAAAATATCAATTTTACATTACAAAATTCATTTCATATAGAGTTATCCAACACAAACACCTATTACTTAATGTATTGAATCAATTTTCTTAATTTTTCGAAGTAAAACTTCTTTAGGCGCGACTAGGGTGTAAATCCGTACAAATAAAAGGGAAGTGCGTTACGGCCGAGTCGAGTGCCAATGATTCGCCATTCGCTCTATATACTTATTGGTATTTATAAAACATTTTCTAGGTTATATTATTAACATTAAACATTTCTACAATGATGAAGTAGCTGGCAAATTTACTGAACGTAGTCAGATAATTGTTCGTTTGAAATGTGTTATTTGTTGTGATTTAATTGTTTTGGTTGTCACAATACAGTTTATATTTGCTCAGAGTCAAATTGGACCTTTGAGTCTTGCCCTGCTCTACATATATACTTGTTATTAAATTTACTTTAATTCATCGAATGGTACTTGAGACTTTTTTTTGAAGCAGGTCAGAGAAGAAATACTTAATTCATTTTCTATCTCTTCTCGCAGAAATTTGAAAAATTTATTTGCAATTATACACAAAATCCAGAATCCAAAAAAATCTTAAAAACTTGAAACTTAATCAATAAGTCGAAAGACCAAAAAAGACTTGGATTAGATTATACCATGTTTTCTATTCCTATAGAAAGTGTATAAAACTTCCAGTTTGATTGTATTGACAAACTAATGGGGTTTATTAACTTCCCGTAGGGTAAGTTATTGTAATGGGCCGAAAATCGGAACTGAAAATTTTTACATTTCTCGACGTTTTGAAGGTTTCTGAACGTTTTGGCATACCTCAGAAAAAATGGATGTGTGTGTGTGTGTGTATGTATGTATGGATACAAATTTCCAGTCACGTTTCAGGGCGCACGGATCAACCGATTTGAATGGTTCAAAAAACATTCGATTCCTATTGATAGGGAAAAGAGCTGATTAGTTTTTGGCAAAGGCAGGTCCAGCCGTTTCGGAAATACGGAGCAAAGAGTGCAGAAAATAGAAATCGAATTTTTGAGAGAACGGAGTATCCGATTTGGATGATCTAAAAAACATTCAATTAGTAATGATTGGGAGAAGTGTTTATTAGTTTTTGGCAAAGGCAGGCCTAGCCATTTTGAAGATACGGAGCTAAATATGTAAAAAATGGCAGTTTTTGAGAGAAATAAGCGTCCGATTTAAATGATTCAAAGAACTTTCTGCTTGCCTTAACAAAATAATTGATTTTGGAAAAAAAATTTCGTTCAATTTTTTTTTTTTTTTTTTTTTTTTTT